CCTGGATAAACATTGTGTCGAGTATGAAATCAAAGCGAGGATAACTCGAATGACAATGGCTCAGTACATGTCCATAGCCACGTCCAAGAGAAGTCATGTTTTGATGGATTGTCCCATGATCCTTAAAGTCCATTATAATCTGCGTTGGATCCTCGCCGACAAGGTTTGTTGCTTCGAGAACGATTGGCTTGGTTAAAGTCAAAAACCGGACCAGCAGTGCCAACTCGAAATCATCTCCACTCATCTCTGCAAGAACAACTCCCCTCAGGATATGCTCATGATGAGGCATACTTGTAAACGCCTTAAAGAGTGCTTTCTGCACTGGGGGGCACAAGACATAGTTTATGGCTCCGCGGTTCTTGTTGAGACGATAGATAAGCCCTAGGTCACGGAAATCCCATTCAAAATCACCACTCTCCGAGTTGTTGCCAAGGAAGACTGTTGCAAGGCTTTTAGCGAACTCCTCCTTCGATATCTCGCTGAGAGCTTTGTAGTAATTCTGAACTACAGGGCGAAGCTCGCTTGTTCTCTGAGCTACATACCCATCAATGCTATCTCTTGTGAGTGGTCTTTCCTTAATTGATCGAATGAGGCGCATAAACTCTCGCGGCACACGGTTTGTAATCCTCATTATATCCTGGACAATATCGGGTTGGTTCAGGTGGACCTCCAACCATTTTGAAAACACTGTCTCGGATAGTGGGCCAACAAAGTACAATAAGATAGCTCGAGCACTGTCTTCCATAATCTGCAATTCATATTTGGCATGGGCTGTTCCTGTAAATATCACTCTAGATCCTTTGTAATGAGACTGCCATAGATTAAGGTTCATTAGATGCTTCAGGAACGGGTATTTATCCGGCACATACGGCTCTTTTTGGAATAACTCTCCATGTTCGTCGATAATGAACAGTGTTTTGCGCTCCTTCTGTTTGAATAGGTCGAATACTGCGCGAGCAGCCACAATTGAGCAATCTATAACTTCAGAAAAGTCGAGGAGACTTTCCAGATCAGATGCCGTCAAGATATCCCTGTTGAAAGCGAAGAAGCGCCTTAACAGTGCCTTTGCCGATTTTGTATCCGAACTTTCATTTAATATCGCGGCATCTGGTATATAAAGGGTAAGCCACCCTTCCGCATATCCTTTTGCAGCAAGGAAATAGGATAGATATGACTTGCCAACCCCCATAGGACCAGAAAGGACTCGCCGAAATGAAAACCTTTGTTCAGCACTAATCTCCTTCCACAATTCTAGCATCTGATCCGTAATTATAAATCCCGAATTATATTCCTCAAATTCTTTCGGTGTGAGGCCCAAGGATGGAATGTGAACTTGATCACCAAGCTGATTATCGCTTTTCAGATGATTAAACTTATTACGTGCATCGGGCGGGTCTTCAGGATTCTCCAGCATTGCGATCCAAGAGGGTGGTAACGTGACCATTTTACCATCAGAAGCCCTGTATTCTCTCCACCCTTCCTCAATGCGCATCTTCTTTGAAGGTGAAATATACTGTGGATCTAATTATGATCATCGTACACATACACAGTTGGTTAGTACCATAACATAGTCAGTCACCAAGTCGATCTATCTAAACAGCAAAAAACAAATTATTACCTTCATCCATTTTTCTCTTGAGAATCTGTTCCGATGACTCTAGAAAGATAAGAGAGCGCGGCAATGGCAGAAATGTTAGCATTTTGATCAGATCAAAGAATATATTGCTGTCAATGAGATATGAACGCCAGCTAATGGAGAGTCAGAGCATGTGTGCGAAACGCGAAACAGATTCAATCAGAAAAACTAACAAATGCATCAATGTAAACAGGTCAAATAAAAATAAAAATAAAAATGAAAACTGTGTTCTCAGACAACAGTGAGAGTCTGAGGATGTGCACGGAGCATGGAGGGGCGACTTTTCAAATTCTTTTATAGAGATGAAATCCAAAGTCGCCCCAGTTAAATAGTGTTGCCGAGATTCATCTCAACAACATAAAAAAGGGATAGATACACGTGACCGTGATGAGATAGCTTCATCAATTGAACAATTGAAATATCATCAGTCCATCAAGAGCTAAATACATACCTCGCTGCGGCAGCTTGACAACGATGTGAATGCGACCTTTTGCTGCACCTTTTGGAAAATAAGTGCTGAGTTCTTCAAGTTCATCGAGCACTACAAGCGATTCTTCGGATAATGTTTCCAATCCTTTCTTCGTTGTGCCGCCGGGGATGAGCTTGAGAGTGAGCTTCTCCGGTGGGATATCACCAAATCTAGCAGGCGAATAGATGGCTTGCTTGAGTTCACCGACCGAAAGATTGGAAAGAATATTTACAGGAAAAGACGTTGCTTCTCCATTAACAATACAATAGATCTTTAGGTTGGTTGGCTCTTTCTCAACCTCTCTTTCTCTTTCAATCGAACCACGTCTAGATGGACCATTTGGTGTTGTTGTTCCGCTTCCCATTGTGATTTCAAAACTGTTTAAAAACAAGGGTGTAAATGGACGGAGGACAGAAAACAGGAAAAGTTTGATCAAATTGTTAAGTATGGTAAGTCAGTAGCAGGATGGTTCAAAATTGTGACAATGTAAGCTGTGGAGATGAAGATGAGGGAGGAAAAGAAAAAAAGAAAAAAAAAAAAAAAAAGGAAAGGAAAGGAAAGGAAAGGAAAGGAAAGGAAAGGAAAGGAAAGGAAAGGAAAGGAAAGGAAAGGAAAGGAAAGGAAAGGAAAGGGAAGGCAATAGATGAAGGCTTGGAATAAATAAAAGAGCAAAATTGATGGGAGCAAAACTGGGGTAAAATATGAAAAAAGTGAATAAAAAGAGTAAAGGAAGAGGGAGAGAGTGCAAAAATGAAGTGAAGCAAAGGAAAGGAGCGACAATTGCCTTTATTTTAAGGTTAGGCGATGTGTGAGAGAATATTTTTTTCAAATCAGCCACGTGCTATTTTCTTGGTCATTGTGGCGTGACAATTTTTAGTGCTCAGATAAACGTTTGTTCACACTCTACTTGCTCATTCCTCTGCTTACAACTGCTCCCCAGGAGGACTGAAATGATCATTGAAGGGGACATTTGAAAAGGATTATAAACTTGAATTTGCCAGATGTCAACTGATCACTTTTTCCGCTTTTACTTTAATACAACTTTGATTACAGTTTGTGATAGCCTTAAAAGCTTCTATTGTAATTGAGCCCCGGAGAACGGTGCAGGACTGTTGTTAGAATGTCCAGTGAAAGTTAAGTGGACTACATGTACTAGGACAGCAAGGACAAGATTGCCTGCGACAAAGTTGTGGTCAAGCTGAGTCATTGCAAAGGCTTGACATGAAGTTCTATGGAGAGAATGTCGACTTGATTCTTGATGAGTTCAGCTCACTTTGCGAACAAATGACCAGCACATTGACCATGGACGACATGTACGGTGTAGGCAACCAAATCCTACGTGAGCTCATCAAGAGTGCATCCAGGGTAGTTTGCCTTGATGCCAACCTCACCAATGATATGTGCAGATTGTGGAAAGCCTGTGCGATGACGTATACGTTGTTCACAACACATTCAAGGTACAGAATGGTGATCAGGTAATGATGTACGAGACAGAAGAATTGTTAAAGCTTAAAGTGTTAGACTTGTTGTGGGATGGCAGGCGTATCTGGATATCGAGCACTCATAGCGCTGAAGATACTGAGGCATACATCAAATACTCCAGGAAAAAGGTTTCCATGGAGTGTGCATGACCAAGAATACGTCGGAAGCTAGCAAGCGCGACATAGTCAAGAATATCAGCCCTCACATAGCTAACTTCAATTATTCTATCCATACTCCCACTATCTCGATGGGTATCGATAACAATGTTATCAAAGTCTAGACTGTGTCGTAGGATTCTTCAACACTCGTAGTGAGGTCAATGTGGAGACATGTAGACAGATGATGCGGTGTGCCAAGCATGTCAAGACCAAAACATGTCTGATTCACGTCGATAGAGCCACAAACAATTTACCAACATCAGTTCAAGGCATCCGCAACTGCGGTACACTTATTCTATGTCTCTAGCGCGGCCTAAATAACAACTATACCAATGGGGTCAGTGTCGAGAACCTTATCAGATCAGCAATCCATGGAATGACGAAATTCAGTACGGAAATGATAAGGCGCGGAGTCCATGGCGGCGTTCAGACACATGAACACTGTCATGTTCGGACATCCATCTTTAATGCTTGAATTGAATATCAGTTCGCGGCACAGAAAGTTTAAATATATTGCAGCGGACATGGACTCGTATTCCCTGGTCATTGTGAAAAGGCTCTACACTGGAGCTGAAAGCAAAACAAGCGATGCCCGGGACTCAAGCGTAGCATCGTTCAAACATGCTATGGGTAAAAAAATGGGAAAAATTGCGAGAATGGATTAAAGACTATGTGCAAGGCGGTCCCAGCCCGTTTCTTTGGACAGACTGCTTAGACCTTTGCAGATATGGTCAGATGTCACATGCGGGCATTCGTTTTCGAACTGAAGATAAGGGTTTATGTTCTAAGTGAAGTCATTGCATAGCTTATTATTTTCCTTGCAAAAACTATTATCATACTATTATACAAATCTCTTAGGTTTCAATATGGAGCTCAGAATGAGCTGTGAGTAAAGGTGGGTTATATCTCATAAATACGATTGATGAAAGTGGCACATCATCGACCCATGATGCAGTATCGATATTTTGGATCCTTAATACGAAGTTATCTCCATCAAAGCGCCTCATATACCTTCCAATGCTATTGTATAAAGACAGTTTCTGCACGGTCAGTGGAGACTACTTCCTGAAGATAATCTTAAGGAGGGACGTAAAATGTCTTCGTGGGGGATTAAAGTCGCGCTTCGGGACTCTAGCAAGTGCAGCTTCATTTGCTTAGTTACATCCTGGAGAGCTTTGTAGAAAGCTTTTTTTTTTTTTTTTTTTTTTTTTTGATGGAAAGAAAAAAATCCACCAAACGCTTTATTGTAATGTAACTCTTGGTCTGTCATGGCGATCCCTCTAGTCTTGCGCGCAGGATAAGAGAAATTCTCGTAGGACAGTACATCTGATGGTTCGACAAGTTGTCTAACGAACGCACTGTAGCCACCGCCAAGAGCAACACAGTCCAGCTTGTGTATGTGCGATGCAATGTTCATCTTCACAAGCATAGTCCCATCATTGAAATCTCGACAAGGAGCTGGCTTGGATGCAAACAGTATGATATTGTTCATGTCTGAACACACTTGAATACGAAAACCCGACTTCTTGAGTTTATAAGAGTAGAGACTTAGCTCGTCAGCACCGATGTAGCTGACTCTTGTGTCATGTCTGTCTACATTGTAGACAATGAATCTCCTGTGATCAGCGCATACAGGAGCAGCAGACCCTTTTCGACATTACGATATGGGCTACCATAGTCACGCACCCCAAATACTTGTGTCAGAAAAAAGAACGTAGGGATGAATCCTAGACGGTCAAGCACCATTGACTTGACGTGTGTTACGTCAGATATCTCTTTCATCTCTGTGCGATGAAACTTGGCTTTCTTTATAGCTGGCCACTCCTCTTGCATGAACCTCCACTGAGCCTCAACAAGGCGTACATATTCCTCAGAAACAGCACTCATACATATATACTCTTTGCAAGCTATTAGATATAAAGCGCTTAATTACAACTCTTCTAATTACTCCATGTGTTCACTTTATTTTCATCTTACCTATTCATGTGAGTGCCAAATATTCACTTCAATTGCAATTCATCCGAATATGGCGACTGTTCAGACTCCATATGATACTGTATAAACACCTGAACACTGCCACATGTCATTGACTACTCTACGTTCCCTTAAACAATATTCTTAGGATACATCTGAACTTTTGCAAGGGATGTATTGATGCTTCGACAAACATGTAACATTTAATGGCTACATCACAGCCCTTGGATTGTAGAAGCGCTGAAAGTATGCGGAAAACGGGAACCATTTGTGTTTTTACTAGCAACAAGCGTGCTTTCAAAAAGTTTGCTCCAAAGAACAGATCCTATATCCTTCATTGCTCAAAAGAGACAATCTTGTCTTTTCTGCACCCTAAAAGCGCCTCATAGTCCCATTGAGGCGTTCAGAGGCATTATTTGCCTCATAGTTTGAGGATTAGCAGACTTTCAGTCAAGTTTTATTGTTTTGAACAACACAGTAAATCCTGTCCATTCGAAGTTAGTCCCTTTGGATGACAGCTATTCAGGGGATGCTAATCAATTCCGTAAACTACGGTGAAATCAGAGCAGATTTGGAAAACCAACAAGTATCGAACAGTCGCCGTATTTAACTTGCTTATTGTAGAATACAAGGCAACAATGAAACCAAGACCCATTGCCATCTTCCCTTTACACTTTACACTTGATAATCGATAGAAAACCTTGTTTTAGGCATCTTCGTCTATCCCGTGCGTTTCGTTTTCCTTTTTCATCCAAATGATTATGAACATTCGAAGGTCAATCCAGGGATCCTTTCCCGCACAGATCTGATTTTTCTGACAAAGGCTTTGTTCACGTCGAACCTCGCCCAACATTATTTTTACTTTATTTTATTTTATTTTATTTTGATTCCCTTGATTCCCATTTTTGCATTCAGTAAGAACAGCCTCATTCTTCATTCGTCACGTCTTGATTCTCAAATACCCAATCTAATCCATGACATCCTCCGAGGCATTTGACAGCCTCTGTCAAAGGGTCTTCATGACCTCAACCGACTCGACCAGTCCCGCTTCTGATTCAACTCCTCCTGAAGAAACTGCTCTCAGTCTGATAATTCGAGCGCAAGTCTACGAGTTGCCCCAGTCTTTAGCCAATTCTCCTGCACCAACAGTCGCTCCTTCTCTTTCCTCTCAAAACAACCAGGACCGTCTTTACTATCGAATTCATCTCGAGATCCTTGATGCTACATTACAAGGAAAAGTCCGTCAGATCCTGGTCGATACTATCGATCCATCTAGCCTGATAGAACTACCTTTTGATAGAAACCTGACCGGTTATTCCTCAAAGACTCGGACAGAAACACGCCAAGCACCTTTGGAATCATCAGTGGTGCTCGATATGGATGGGTTAACAACAACAACATCATCGGAAGAAACAGCAGAGGCCCAGTCATTACCCTCTACCATGCTTCTGCTTCCAACCAAAGAGTGGTTGCAATTGACAGGCAGGATCCGATATTGGAGAGCGGAATCCCACCGTGTCAAGGCTGCTCAGCGTGAAATCGTCCTGGATAATTTATTAAAAGAACGTTGGATAGATCCCTCATCACATCAGCTGGCCGCCATCTCCGCATCTCCCCCATCATCTGGATCGTTTATTGCGGCCAATATACCCCAAGCCTCCTTGCCATCATCACCTTCCCCGTCTGCTTCCTCATCTTCTGCAACTTCAGTCCCATCGAGCTCCCCTATATCATCCCTGCGCTTTCAATCTTCCCCATACAAGCATACCTTTCAGGAGCATCAATCAAACATTTTGGTCCAGTTCATGACTCAATATGGCGAAGAACCCTCGGTGACGTCGTTGCTTCGCGGACTACTTGATCTGATCAGGCGTCAACTCACCCTGGACAGGGTGCTCATATGGACATTTGACCGAGCCAACTTGACAGAACAAAAACCAGAGGCAACTGTAGCGTTTTTAGACTTGCTAGCCTGCTTGGGCATGGAGCTTGTAGAACGACCGGATGAAGCAACTCCAGCAGTCGTCCCCGAGATCGCAGGAACAAACTCCATCGTCTCTGCTACTTCTGAAACAACTGTTGTTGGCTCCAGTTCAGGTGCAGGTACAGGTGTTTCAGGATCTAATAACACTAAAAAGGACGATCTATCAACAGAATTGATGTGGACATTTGGAGCTAAAATCGATGATCGTAGACTCGAGTACTGGGTTCATAATATCCAACAGGCCACCTTGCCCTCACCTAAACTGGATGGTCTGTCTCTCTTACCATCCAGTGTTACAGTGGTCAATAATAACGATAGCACTGCTTCCAAATCAGGATTAAATCAGACTGAACATCACCCGAACCCAATCCCTATTGTAGTTCGGAAACGTTTTCTTCAGGACCGTAACACCATACCCGCCGGACGTATTCAGGTATTGACAACGGCTCACAATAACAGCCATAATAAACCCATGGTGACACCACCACCACAACAACAAGGAGGAAGAGAAGGAGAGGAAGAAGCAAGTGTTATGCGTGATAATTCACTAGTTCTGAGCTCATCCAAGTACGCCCTGGACTCGGCTGGCTCTCAATCATTGATATCTTCCCCAGGGATGTTTGTTGAACGTGTCAGAAAGGATATTAAACATCTTGCGAGATGGGCAACGACTTGTGGAGGTCGGTTGGATTGGATTTGGGCATGGTTGTTCTCATCCATCCAAAGATCAAGACATCGTTCGACTACAGAACCAAGGCCACCTCGTTCTAACGATGAGAATGTTTAAAAAAAAAAAAAAAAAAAAAAAAGAAAAAAGAAAAGAAAAGGATATATTTTTATACAAATGTTACATTTAGAAAATTATACGCATATACCATTTTGCTCATTACAAAATAAATTCAATTAAAGCAGTCCAAGTCAGATGACTTATGAAAGGTCTTTGTGTGTCTGAACAAAAAAGCCACTTTTTTTTTTTTATTTGATCCAAGTGAACTTCAAAAGCTGCGTAAACAACATAAACCGCGCTACCTTTTTTTTCTTTTTCTTTTTTTAAACACATTCTTCATTCATTTGTTCCATCCAATTACTCCAATTACAACTTGTATCAGAGTGTCAGCTGAAAGACAAGGAAAGACCAGCAGACTAACCTAGAACCTCTTACAAACAACTACGGAAAAACTCTTAATTATATATCAAACAACGTTCTAAAAGAGGAGGAAAAAAAAAAAAAAAAAAAAATGGCGTCCACAAGTACTGACACAACTGGTCTTCGTGATATTACAAAGATGGAACGTATTGGTATGTGAAAGAAAACAAACAAACAAAAAAAAAAAAAAAAAAAAAAGCAGATACGAACATTTTACATTGTATTTTTTTTTTTTTTTTTTTTTTTTTTTTCTTTTCATTCTTTCGTGAATACATATCACTCATTACGCTTTTTTATTTATCTAATTTTTTTTATTTAAAAATAAATAAATAAACTCTGTATCAATAGGTGCACACTCTCACATTCATGGCTTGGGATTGGATGACAATCTGGAGGCTCGAGAGACAGGTCAAGGAATGGTTGGTCAATTGAAAGCACGTCGTGCTGCAGGTGTGATGCTAAAGATGATCCAGGATGGCAACAAGAACGCAGGACGGGCCATCTTGATGGCAGGAGCCCCCGGTACAGGAAAGACAGCTATTGCAATGGGGATGGCCCAATCTCTGGGCGCAGATGTCCCCTTTACGATGTTGGCTGCCTCAGAGATCTTTTCATTGGAGATGAGCAAGACAGAAGCATTGACTCAAGCCTTTAGACGATCGATCGGTGTGCGAATCAAGGAAGAATCAGAGATCATTGAAGGAGAAGTGGTCGAGATTCAGATCGATCGTTCCACAACAGGACTTGTAAGTTTTTTTTTTTTTTTTTTTTTTTTTTTTTTTTTTCCTTATCTCCTTTTTCTCAATGATGGTGTGTTTCTATTTTATATATATTATATCATAATCTGTGTTTTGCATGGAGATTGAGTCTGATGTACTGACAAAGAAATTATTGTATTGTTTTTTTTTATTATTTCTGTACCAAAATAAAAAAAAAAAATAAAAAAAAAAATAAAAAAAAAAATAAAAAAAAATAGGGCCAGAAATCTGGTAAGCTAACACTCAAGACCACAGAGATGGAGACAATGTACGATTTGGGAGCAAAGATGATTGATGCACTCAACAAGGAAAAGGTCATGGCAGGAGATGTGATTACGATCGACAAGGCATCGGGCAGGATTTCCAAGTTGGGACGTTCATTCACCCGAGCACGCGATTATGATGCCATGGGCTCGGATACAAAGTTTGTACAGTGTCCGGATGGGGAACTTCAGAAGCGTAAGGAGGTTGTTCATACGGTCTCTCTACATGAGATGGATGTGATCAATTCGAGATCCCAGGGGTTCTTGGCCCTCTTCTCTGGTGATACAGGAGAGATCAAGACAGAGGTTCGGGAACAGATCAATCAAAAAGTGGGCGAGTGGCGTGAGGAGGGCAAGGCAGAGATTGTTCCAGGGGTGTTGTTCATTGATGAGGTTCATGTTCTGGACATTGAGTGTTTCTCGTTCTTGAACCGTGCTTTGGAAGATCCTCTGGCACCGGTGGTGATCATGGCCTCCAACCGAGGGATTTCCAAGATCCGAGGCACCAATTACAAGTCACCCCATGGATTGCCTGTGGATCTATTGGATCGATTGTTGATCATCAGCACGACAGCGTACACGGAACCGGAGATCAAACAGATTTTGACGATTCGATGTGAGGAAGAAGATGTGCAGATGACAGAGGATGCAAAGGATATTTTGACCAGGATCGGGATGGAGACCTCGTTGCGGTATGCCATCCACTTGATCACAGCTTCTTCGTTTGTGGCCAAGAAGCGAAAGGCGGCTGCGGTGGATGTGGCGGATATTAAGAGGGTGTATTCGCTATTCTTGGATGAGAAGCGCTCAGTTCAGATGTTGAAGGAGTACCAAGGCCAGTATATGTATAATGAGATCGACATGGCAGATCGCGAGCCTGCTATTGGCAACAGCATGCAGATGAGCGTGTAGAAATAAATAAATAGAAAAAATAAAATAAATGAATTTAAAAAAAAAAAAAAAAAAAAAAAAAAAGCCAGAAGGCACGGGACCTGCTGGATATAGAGAAATAAAAATATCAAAAGGTATGCAAACACAAGTACAAACGAAGCCATCTAAGATTCAATGAGATTGTCCTTTTTTTTTTTTTTTTTTTTTTTAAAAAAATAAAAAGCCCTGTCTTAACTATGAGTATCTGGAAAAGGAGAGAGAGCATCAGTGGATGGTTGCATGAATTGATGCTTATTTCGTTATTTCGCCGGGAATGAATGAGTACTAAAAAAGAGGGAGACTCTTCTTTTATTTTTTTTATTTGCATCTGCATCTTTATTGGCATAAGCGATTATCTCGGTAGATCCATATGCAATAACACATACACATATCCAAATAGAAAGAAAGATGCTACTGTGAATTAAAGATGGACCGGAGCACTGAAACTTTGCATGATTTTTTTTTTTTTTTTCTTTTCGAGCATTGAGTAGACTAGATATCTAAGATACACCACTTTACCGTTGTTCACTTTACCATTGTTCAAAAGATAAAATAAAATAAAATAAAATGAATGAAAAAAAATAAAAGCACAGCCTGATCGAGTTATGATTAACTCCTGCTCTGAGTGGACAGCTTGTATCTAGTGCTTGTAAATTACCGATTTTTTTTTTTTTTTTTTTCTATAATTGTTTGCTATTGTTTGTTATTGTTTTGCTATTGTTACACATCCATACATTCATGCCATTGAAAATGCATGTAATGCAAAAAAAAACAAAGGCACCATGAAACATGCAGTATGGATGGTACAAAAAAAAAAAAAAAAATCAGCGAGCGAAAAAAAGAGAGAGAGAGATTGAGAGAGAGAGAGAAAGAGAAAGCAGATGAGAGAGAAGAGAGAGAAAAAGCAAGCGAGAGAGAAGAGAGCACGGGGAAAAACTCTTTTCTTGCTTATACCATCTATTTTTCCTTTTTCTTTCAAGAAAAGAAAAAAAAAAAAAAAAAAAAACTTGCAGTGCTGTGCAGTAACTTTTTTTTATTGTAACAATAAGCCTTTTTATTTTTATTATTATTATTATTACTATTATTGTTCGCTCAACTTGCGTTCCAGATCTTTGATGCGCGCTCTGGCCTTCTGTAATCCGTCGATCAGTTTCTTCTTCGTCGCCTCTGCACTGGCCTTGTCCGTCAAGACTTGAGAGAGTTTACTTCCGAGTTCTGCATGTTGTTGTCTTAATCGTTTCAGTCTTGCCTCTTCATCTTCTTTTTCTGTCGTTGTCGTTGTCGTTGTCGTTGTCGTTGTCGTTGGTGTTGGTGTTGGTGTTGGTGTTAGTGTTGGTGTTAGTGTTGGTGTTGTTGGCGTTGCTGCTGTGGCAAACTTAATTTCGATCAACCCTGCTGATTTTTCTCCCCCTCTTCCTCTTCCTCCTCCTATTCCTCCTCCTCTTGCTCCTGCTCCTGCTCCTGCTCCTGCTCCTGCTCCTGCTCCTGCTCCTGTTCCTGCTCCTGTTGCCGATCTTGAGCCTCCTTGCTCTCCTGTCCCATTTTTATCTGCATCATGATGTTCATCACCACGACCAACACCATCACCATGATGATCTCTTCTCTTAATTCCGTCTGAAGATCCGATCGTTCTCATAGGAGGGGCACAAAGCGAGTTGATATTGAGAACGTTATTATTTAAAGAATCAGAGCGGGTTCTAGAACTGGAAGAGATATCACTCATAGGCGATCCTGGTGGAGATGCAGATCTGGAAGATGTTTCAGACTCATATACATTATTTTGTCCACCATCAGTACCAAGACCTCCTGTACCACCAATACGACCATCCCCTCCATTATCACTTCTAACCCCGCTCCCGTTGCCACCACCAACTTTGCGGCCACTATTGTTATAGCCCGTATTGCTGGTATTCACATTGACGCCTTCGTTTTGGCCAATGCTTGAAGAAGGGTTAAAACCTATACAAGACCCAGGCAGGGTAGTCAAAGAAGAAGCAGAAGAAGAAGAAAAAGAAGAGGACGAAGAGGACGAAGATAACGAGGAGGACGAGGAGGAGGACAAGGTTCTACTACGGGCCTGGGTAAGGATCTGTTTTAGGGCCGTGACTTGAGCATGGGTCTCGAGGACGAGATACTGATATTGTTGAATGGATGTATGGACAGCTGTGGACGTCTGTTGAACCTCCGCATAGAGAGCTTTGAGATGATCTAACTCTTGAGAAAGATAGGCTCGCTGTCCTTGTGATAACGGATGAGCAGCGCAAGAAGAAGAAGAAGAAGAAGAAGAAGAAGAAGAAGAAGAAGAAGAAGAAGAAGAAGAAGAAGAAGAAGAAGAAGAAGAAGAAGAAGAGGCTTGACTATGATGATGATGGTGATGATGATGATGATAATGATTATTATGATTGTGAATGTGATTGTGATGGTCGTTGTTGATGTTGTTATTGGCGTTGCAAACAGTTTTGTTGTAGTAACAATCCAGATGATCCAGGATCTGAAGGAGAAGATCAAGTTTGGAACAACTGGACTGAGTAGGGGAAACAGGTGAAGGAAGATTGCCTGTCTCTATTGCAGTCTGTCCTGTTGTTGTTGGTGTTGATGTTGTTGGTATTACTGGTGTTGTTGATGTTGATGTTGATGTTGATGTTTTCATTGCTGTTGTTGTCATTGTTGTTACTGCTGTTGTAGCTCCTGCTTTCCCTTCATAACCTGATGTTTGGATATGGATGCTATTAAAAGCTAATGGATTCCTGTTGTTGGGTTGATCACTGTTACTGTTATTACTGCTTTTAATTTTATCGATGGTGTTGGTGTTGTGAGGGGGATTGTCCGAGGTGATGGCGGTGGTGGTTGTTGAAAGGGTAGGATTAGTAGCAGTAGGAATGGTGATAGTGGAGGTGGAGGTGGAGGTAGAGGAAATGTTAGTGGTAGTAAGACTGATATCTTGTGCATGCATGGTATCTAAGAGTGTGATTGTCATGGTTATCGGCGGTGTTGATGGTGGGGACAAAAAGATGGTTGAATTCTTATTGTTCGGTCAGGGAGAGTGCGCAAGAAAAAGAGCGTACCCTTCAATTTAATTGAGAAAAGAAGGACAATGGGCAATTAAGGGTCAAGGTAACAAGGCAACAAAGCAAAAAGCATAAAAACGTAAAAGCCGAAGGGCAAGGTAAAAAAGATCCCAATTGTACAATCAAATACACGGGGAAAGAAGAAGAAAAGGCGACTAAGTGAATAAGCGCTTTTTTTCCCTGTGGTTGAAAGGAGATAACAGATGCAGTTATAATAGGTAAATTAAAAAAGAGCAAGAGCTAAAGCTAAGACAAAGAGAGAAAGAGAAGGAGTTGATCAAAAAAAAAAAAAGAAAGACAAAGGAAGAGAAGGAAGTTGAAAAAAAAAAAAAAAAAAAAAAAGCAGGGGGGTGGAAAGAAAAAGAATGACGGGGGAAGAGCAGAGCGAGTCTTAGTGTCCATGATCCATGCACTCTGCGTTCACTCTATTCATTCCATTTTCATACATCCGTAGAGCACCCTGCAAAAAAAAAAAAAAAAAAAAAAAACTGCGCATATCGAGCGTTGTTACGATGTGGCAGTTGTTACTGTCATCAGTGATAGAAAAGGGGAGGAGAGGCTGGAGTTTGGAGGATAGGGTCAAATATCAATCGTCTTATCCATTCATTCATTCATTCATCCATACAAATAAAAGAAAAGAAAAAAAAAAAGATAATGACAATGATAAAACAGGGGCTCTCCAGTCTGTCTTTGTTCACTCATGCTCCTCCTTCTTTCTCTTTCTCTTTCTCTTTATTCAGATTGTGTTTATTTTATTGCAACTTACGCCAGTGGTCACATCAAGAGTGGAAAAAGAAGTACAGCATGAAAACAACAGGCAATATAGTGGCCAGCCCTGTTTGTTTTTTTTCTTTCTTTCTTTGTTTGTTGTTGAAAAGTTGTTCCAGTTAATATCGGCTGCAGTCAGGAGGGGGGGTGGGTGCACGCGTCAAAAGGCGGGAAAGAGAAATATATAAAAAAAAAATAAGAAAAGAGAGAATTGATTGATGATAGAATTGGGATGGGCATGGGCATGGGCATGGGATCAAAGAGTCGGGGGAATGAAAGCAATCGGTTTTTTTTTTTTTTTTTTTTTTTTTTTTTACTAAACGTACTAATCAACAACGTCCAATCCATCTACAAAATGGAATAAGGAACGAACATGGATCGATTCTCATTCTCGTTACTCCCTCATGCTTTTTCATAGTCCACTTTTACTCTCTCTTTGAACCAATTGCACGCGATAGATCACTTGTGTGCACGCGCCCTCTTTATTTTTACCTTTATTTTCTTTCATATCATCCCACCATTAAATAACGCAAAAAAAAAAAAAAAAAAAAAAAGAGTTTTTGCGCGCTCAATGCTCATGTTATCGTTATTCAACATGATACACAAATAGCTATATTACAAATAAACAATAAACGAGATGGGACAACGCACGTTGGTCAATCCTACCTTTGAATCATGCAGCGCAGAAAGAGGAGGAAGAGGAGAGGGAAAGAGGGGAAGAAGGAGAAGAATGTTTTTATGATGCAGAAAAAAAAAAAACCAAGCCAACCAGGGTCAAGGGTTTTTTTTTTTTTTTTAAAAAAAATGAACATTCTAATCTCTTTGTATATATACCTTTTTTTTTTTTATCTTTTCGCGCTAACTTGCAGCTGATGAATGAAAGAAAAAAAAAAAAAAAAAAAAAAAAAAAAAAGGTTTAGCCATGTAGGATAAGGAGCAAGGGATAAAGGACAGAGAAAGGGTGAGCTATCCTAGCTCGCCGGTCTGCTTGGAACACAGAAGGAAAGACAAGGGGGGAGGCTGGACATGGATATATACAAGCCTTATTCTTTCCAACATTTTGGTCGTACGGTTGGACAATAAAGTCGTACAGAGCAAAAAAAAAGTCATAATAAAGTTTTGTTTTCTTTTATCCAAGAATTTTACACAGATACCCTTTTTTTTTTTTTTTTTTTTTTTTCCTTCTCCTTTATTACGATATTGACAATCCCATCTGTCAATCCTCCTCTTGATAATGGCGTATGATATGTTCTAGATACTCATCATAAAGGAAAATTAGCAAGGGTAGATTCACTACATATACCAATAGCCCATTGGAACTGACTGATATTTTTGGACGGTGGCGCTGCAAAAAGTCCCTCACACGAGTTGTGCAGCAACAAACTCCACATAGCCGACGCCGTTGCTATCATTGAGTAATGTAATGTGGCGTTATTGTTATTGTTGTTATTGCTGCTGTTGCTGTTGTTGTTGTTGTTGTTGTTCTTGTTCTAGTTGTTTTTATTATTAGAGAATACGTTGTCGCCAGCGCCCATGACTATTTTTATACGCGTCTGCGGAATTAATAAACGCTTCTTTATTCTGTTTCTGCTTCCACTTCCGATTTGCTTCTGCTGCTTTACCTCTACTTCTGCTCTTGCTTTGCTTCTACCTCTGCTCTTGCTCTGCTTTGCTTCTACTCCCGCTCCTACTAGTGGTGATATTGCTATTGTTGTTAAAGGTGCTTGCTATTAAGAATAAAAGGTTATCGGCTGTAATTGCATGTATACCCTGAGCTATCAATGAACAATCCTTTCAGTCCCGCTAATGGGAGGGGTTATTTTATTTTTGAAAGGGGTCATAGGGCCTTTACGAGTATGGCTTGCGAGAGCGATCAATCAAAGTCAGCTTGGTGATAAATTGTGGATCTAGTAATCATATTGCTATTGGCATTCTTGGCGATCTGTTTTTTTACCCTTCTCCCTCTCCCCCCCTCCCCCTTTTTTTTTTTTTTTTTTTTTTTTTTGCTTCTATGCACCCTATTGCACCATTTCAAGGAGATGAGATCGCTCATGTCTCACGAGTGCCCGTTAGTAGTATTAGAGATGGGCGTGAGAAGATCACTAGCAGTTTGAATGAGGGGTGAGGGAGGGGATTGAGCATGTTGATGGTTAAGATGGTGGCTGTAAACAAAAGAGTTTTTTTTTTTTTTTTTTTTTTTTTTTTTTTTTCCTTGACGTTAGATGTTGTTCCTGTTGTAATTATGCTATTATTATTGTTATTGTTGTTGTGGTGATTGTTTGTTTCTTTTTTCTTTGTTATTTTTCGCGTACTCTGGGAGGAGGCTGTGGGTGAGAGGAGTGACACAATCTTTAAAAAAAAAAATTGGGCGAAGCTTAAATAAAATCGAATATAAAATATTAATGTATAATGTTAAAATGTAAAATTATAAATTATAAATTATAAATTATAAATTATAAATTATAAATTATAAATTATAAATTATAAAAAACGTAAACAATAAAAAAAAAAAAAAAAAAAAAAAACCTATCAATAAACATGTAAAGAAGCAATTAATTGTTCATTCTTGAAATGATATAATTGTTATATGGGAAACTTGATGATGATACTACTATTTGTATCTAGAGAGAGATGAAGTCACCTCCCTACGAATAATAATAATAATAATAATAATAATAACAAGCTTGTTGTTGTTGTTGTTGTTGTTGTTTTTTTTAGGAACAGAGGAGCAAAGAGCGTAAACTAACTGTCAATAGCCCTCTTAATTGAACTTGTCATTCAAGAACAAAAGAGAAACCTTGCTGCAGGGGTAACTCGCATTTCTCGTTCCTTTATTTATTTATTTATCTTTTATTTTATTTTCTAAATACTTTTGTCCCGTTAGAATGTTCCTACATGGGATGGATTGAAAGTGGATCGTTTACCCAACGGCCTGTTGTACCCTCCACCATGAGATTCAAATTTTAGGTACTGCGCCAATAATGTTAAAAAGTAAATTATGGTTATTGGTTATTATTATTTTATATTATTATTATATATTATAACTATTATTATTATAGTAGAGTTTGCTAATATAACTAAAAATGAGTATTTTTTTTTTTTTCTTATTTAGCTTGTTCCCTATTCTTATTCTTTAAGAGCATCCAGACGGACGCTCATAGAAGAAAGAACGTTCAGGAGTTTTTAGGGGGGAGGAGGGAGGAGGAGGGGGGAAAGGAAAGGCCCTTCACGTCTTCTTTCCTTCTTGAACAGGAGAATCAACAATAACCACTGGGGTAGAAGAAACATTAGGCTCTTCTGTGGTGTTTGGTTGATTTCCCACGGTCTTGCGCAAAACGTGGTGCTTTAGAAAAAGTGAAGCAATCAGGGCTAACGTTGGCCACGCGATACCTAATAAAGACAAAAAAAAAAAAAAAAAAAAAACCACAAAACCACATCATTTATTGTCACCATTGTTAGCATTGCCAGTTTTTTTTTTTATTTCTTTTTCTCTCCCCCCCCCCCCCCCCCACACACACACCCCTTTAAAAAATCTCGACTTACATTGTCGGAATACCGCTTGGATTGCAAGAGCATATTTATCAGGGTGAGAGTGAACGTCCATAAAATTATTGGGGTCAACATTATTCTGAGCCAAGACATTGTTAATGATTGAGCCTCCAATAGCGACGTTCGCCACTCCACCCATACTCCTGAAGAATGAGACCATAGAGGTCACAGTTGCGATGTCAGCCTGGCCAACCGCACATTGTGCTGCCAGGCTATTTTTATAGATGATAGATATAGCCATAAAGGAAGAAGAAAATATAGAACGAGTTAGTCGTTCACATCTCCCATGCAGACATCATAGACATTAAATATATTAGATACATTAGATATGAGCGAAAGCTTTGAGCACCTCAATATTCAACTTACACAATGCTTTGCATACTACCACCAAGGCCAATACCAACAACAAAAAGGAACCCAATTTGCACGTTCAAGCCTGACTTTTCATTCCAAAGGGTAAGTAGAGCAATACCAGCAATGTAGATGGCTAGGGCAACCCAGATGTAAGGACGATAACGTCCAGTCTTACTGATCAGGACACCACTACCAATTCCTGCGATCATCATGCCTCCAACCAAAGGTAGTAGCTGGAGCCCAGCCTTCGTAGCCGTCTCATGCATGACCAGCTGAAAGTACAAGGGACAGAAGAAAATGGCGCCCATAAATGCGCCTCCGATGAAAAAGGAGGTCGCATAAGCTGCACAGACACTTTGGTTCTTGAACAGTCTGAAGGGCATGATTGGCTCAATAGCGAATTTAGCCTCTACAAAGAGAAAGATGGCCAGGAAAAACGCTCCTACGCAGTAAGGGACAATGACCTGGACACTGTTCCATGCATACTCATTACCTCCCCAGTTGGTAGCGAGAAGGACACAGATGATGCCAGTGACAATCGTGAGCGAGCCCAAGAAATCAATCCGGCGAAGCTTTTCCCGACGTGTGCCTGTAACTGAAGGTAATTTCAGGATAAACACCAAGGCGACTGTGCTAACAAGCCCAATCGGTAGATTGAGGTAAAATGCCCAGCGCCACGATGAATTCTCAGCTAGAACGCCTCCAAGCAAAGGGCCAATCACTGCTGAAATCCCAAACATGGATCCAATGATACCTTGGTACTTGCTGTCGTAATTTTTTTTTTTTTTTTAAAAAAAAAAAAAAAAAAAAAAAAAAAAGATGTTGGTTAGAAGTGTTTTCCCCTCCCCTCTTTCTTCCTCTCCTTCGCCTCCAAACAAAAGGACCTTTTGACGCCAGCAACAGGACCTACCCACGCTCACGAAGAGAGACAATGTCCGAGATGATGATCATGGTCAAGCTAATCATCCCTCCAGCACCCAACCCGGCAATTCCACGCCCAACGACAAGCACGACGATAGTTGGAGCAGCGCCACAAATCAAGGATCCTAGCAAGAAGAAAAAAATAGCCACGAGCATTGTACTTTTTCTGTTTGAATCGATCGTCATCCATGTGCACAAGAGGGGGATGAAAATAAATAAGCAAATAATTATTTAAATGTCAGTCCATATGCAGTTCAACGCCTAGGTTTCTGCTGATGAATTTTAACATTGGCAGTTGCGTGTGAAAAAAGTGTGTAGTGTGGTATGGTGTGAGTCATTACCTGCCAAAGATGTCACTCAGTTTTCCGTAGAGGGGCTGCATTGCTGTATTTGTGAGGAGGTAGCTTGTTCCTACCCAGGCAATGTATTGTGGCGCATTGAACACCCGGCCCAACGTGGGAATTAATACGGATACAATGGTCTGTGAACATGCAGAAAGGAAAAAAAAAAAAAAAGAAAGGTGAATTCAATCATCTAAAGGTCACGTAAATGGAGAGATATGGAGCCCAAAGTATCAATGAAATGGTTACCACGAATGGGGTTCATACCTGATCCAAACTTGCCATGAACAGCACCAGACACAGGCTAGTTGCGATTTTGCGATTGAGAAAAGAACAATCAGATAAGATATTTAAGGTTTAGTCAGAAAACAGGTATTTCATTCTCCGTCTCAATGACATTCCATGGGAGAATAACACATGGAAAAGACTCCATACTGACAATGTTTGCGAAACTATACGAGATTCACATACCCAAGGAACACTAGCGCCAGCTCCTTGGGTGGCAACACGCGGCTCTGGTCCGTATACCCATGAGGCAGCTCAGCGTTAGTTATAGCTTCAGCTGCCTCAGCTGTTGATGCTGTCACATTACTGTCCCCTGGAACGATATTCCCTTTTTCTGCCATCTGCAAGGCGTCGTCTGTCCTGTCTGTCTCTGTCATGATATCTCGCTTTATCCTTTTTATTTCAATTATTTTGTGCGTGTGGGTCTGTTACAAGCACATTCAGACGCCACTTGAGCCAAGAGTGCGTTAGGGAATTGTTGTTTGTCTGTCACAGAAGCTGTCGAGGAAAAAGTCTTTCCAGAGGTAGTAGGATGTAATCAAGTGAGGAATGGATGGTTTCGGTTAACAATGAGGATAGATGAAGCAGACTGAATCGAGACGAAATATCGACCTGTGGGAAAGAGGCAAAAGAAGAGAGAGAGAAAGAGAGAAAGAGCGAGAGAAAAGAAAAATCAGGAGTATTTAACTTTTTGAGATTGTTCATTCTTCTTTCTTTTTTGTCTTCACTTGCATGGCGCTTGTGAAGTGGGGACAATGTGCTCCTTGTTTTTCTATGCCCGCTTTGTAGAGCACAACATGAGAAAAAAGAAAGACAAAAATATCGAAAAAATTTTCCGAGCCAATCATTCTGGCACCCCAGACCAACTTCTTTTTTGTTTCTTAAACAAATGTTTACGCCTTTCCAACCGAATATACAAACTCTCCATTGGAAACAAAATTTGTCGGTCGATATCCTTGGTTAATTACAATATCCTTCCTAGAGCAGCAGCCTTTTTCTATGTCCTCAATCTTTCATTGCATATTAAGTATAGCCTCGAGAGTTGAGCAATATAAAATAACAACGAAGTATATGTGTATACTATATGCTAGAGAGCTACCATGGACTTGGCGGAAAGTATGGGCGGACATGATTGGTATTGTATGTCTTTCTTGTGGTTTGAGGGAGTGTAATCGGACATGGGTAAAGGTAATGCTGGCAAATAGATGCTGAGTATGGTCCATCTTTTTAGTTTTGATGGTCGATGCGAATAAGTTTTTGAGGGATACAAAAGTCTTCCCCTTTTCTCATAGGTCTTAACAGCCAACTTTCTCTAAAAGAAATGGAGAGAGAGGCCAGTCCCAGGCGTTTCTTACAGACGTACTACGCATTTGAAAAGAGACTCTCTTCTTAGTCCTAAGCCAATCCACTCTTGGATCAAGGGCTGAAGAAGCATTTGCTGGTTTTTGAGACCAGGGCAGGTGTTTATATGCAAGGATTTCATTCAAGGGGGGAAAAAAAACAAAAAAAACCATATCTGTCATTATCCCACATGGGTAAATTATTTAGGATTGAAATGTCCACCTCGACGCGACTCGTCCATTTTGGGTTGTTTCATAGACAGCTTAGCACAGCGTGTGGTGATGTAACTGATGGTTCTTTCGAAATAAGGAATGTTTCACCATAGACTGGAAAAAAGAAAGGAAAAATAAATGGACAGACAATTGCGTTTTTATTTTATACTTTTTCCAAGGCAGCATCATCGTAATCCTCAGATCTATAATAGTCACACATGTGAAATGTGCGCGTGTAGGAGGATAGTAAGCGGATATCGAATGGAATTTGGCAGTAAAGCCTGGGATGGGCTTGATGAAATCATTCAACCAAAAATGAAATCACAATCTGATCACCAAATAAAGAAAACCCAAAAGTCCGAACAATTAAATGGACATCTAAATAAAGGATCGTTGTTAAACGATGAATCCTTGTTTAAGTTATTTCTTCACAATTCTTCACAATTCTTCACATTCATTTCTTCATTCCATTCTCTCTTTCTCTCTCTCTCTCTCTCTCTCTTTTTTCTTTTTCTTTTCTTTTTCTTTTATTCACTCTCATATAACTTCTTTTTATTTTTATTTTAATTTGTTTTCCCATATACGATAATTACAATTAGCCATTCAAAAACAAAAATCAGAGAATATGAGCGGTAAATGCAAAGTTCTCTATCCCTCTTGCAGACGGAGACACAACACCTCACTAGCATAACATGTATCCTAACATGTACCTCATTCTACGTCTTGCTTCCCTCTTACCTATTCAGACACATCATCACAGAATCAGGCACTCCTGTCAAGTCTTCAGGAGCACTACCTTAAAAAATATCTCCTTGGCGTACTTATCAATAACGAAATCAATCGTCTTCAAAAGAAACCATATGAAACATTACCAGACCTTGGAGGTCCCTTTGATCTCAAAGATGAACATTATGCTACCTCTACAACCCCATTCCTTCGTTACCTCTTTGAGTCCATAGTCGTGCCATTTCCTTTCCTTAGCAGCAGTAGTAGCAGTAAAGGTACTACTCTTTGGCCAAAAATACAACGCTTTATGGAAGAGTGGGCCAAGATCGAAGCCGGTAATGGAGTTGAACGTGAGGAGATGATTCGTCGGAAACGACTCAAGAACAAAGGTGAACGCACCTTAGTACTCATGTACAGCATGGCCATCAAGACGATCGAACAACGTGCCAAGGAGAAAAAGGACATACTAGAACGCCAAGAGCGGATGGAGACCGCCAAGCGAAAAAAGCAAGAGGAACAACAACAGCAGCAGCAAAACATCTCAGATTTTGCTTTCGATTCCTGTAATAGTAACCGGGACAATAAACATCAACGTGATCTTCAGGATGGATCATTGGACTCTTTACGATCCCAATCTCAGTCTCAATCACGATCTCCCTCCCCTTCTGCATTTAGCACCATGATCCATGGTGTTCGGATCAACGTTATTGGAGTGCGGCTTGTAAAAGAAAAGAGGCGTGTCCGTGAGCATGAGCATGTCGTAAGTTTTTTTTTTTAAAAAAAAAAAAAAAAAAAAAAAAAAAAGTCTGTGTGTCTGTCATTATAAAACGCCGAGACAAAAGCCAAAAAAAAAAAAAAAAAAAAAAAAAAAAGAGGTTGGGAGTATCCAGTGGACCTTAAATCAACATGCTCTCTTGTTTTATTTTTAAGACATTTTTTTATTCTCTTCGTGCATCCACCTGGCATGATTGCTTGGTCTTATTTTATTCTCCTTTCATGTGGGATGTCGCCAGTGTTCCTTACCATATATTTCAATTATATTATAAAATATATTATGATAAGGATCACTAGTTGTAACATTAGGATAGGCCATTAATTTTTTTTGTTTTGTTTTTGTTTCAACTTGTTACATAGGAATTCATTATCTCAACCACGTTCGCAGATGGAAAGGAGGCTGTCGTGGCTAGGCGCTACGGGCGCTTCAGGAGACTATATCGTACTGTAAGTTTCATTCGAACACTCTGACCATAATTGTTTCTCCAGCCGTGACATTAATATCTAACAATGTATCATTCACCACCTGTTCTTTGTCACTTTTTTTTTTTTTTTTTTTTTTTTTTTTTCCCGGTCTTATAGTTGAGGCACGATTTCCCACATGAAGAGCTTCCAGTGCCGCCAGCAAAGTATGAAGCCAAATCAAGAGTATCAAGAATGGAAATGACACGGGAAAAGGATAGGATTAGTCTTCGAGGCTATCTTCGTAATCTGGCCAAAGTAAGCCAAGAGATTGCGGATTCAAAGACCTTTGTCGATTTTTTGACACAAGATGCAATTGATTTGACAGAAGAAGAAGCCAAGGATATTCAGACTCGAGTAGCGTTGGACGAGCATCGCATGGCTCAACAATCCAAATTTGATCGTGAAGTGGCAAAGAAAGTGGATGAACTGGATGCACAGCTGAAGGAGATCAAGCTGGATCTCTTGCAACCCGGTGGAGTTTCACGGCTGTTTAGTGCTTTCAAGCATTTTGACAATGTCAATGACTTGCCACCCCTCTATCAAACAGTCTTTGAATGGGGCTGTATGAATTTTGCATCCACATTGTATCACGTCTTTACATCTTCAGACGACGCTACGCTCAATTTTACTCAGCTCAAGCGCACACACATGTTATTGCCTTACAGAACCATGTGGGGGATCTTAAAGGTTTCAAACCCTATGGCGATGATGAAGGGAATCATGGATTTGTTCTTGGCTCAACCGTTTGGTACTCGCAGTCTAATGCAGCGCATCATCTCGGGTAATATTCAAGAAGAAGTTTCAGAGTATAAGAAAGAAATTGATGACCTTGAGACAGCTATTGGGGACCCAGCTCTTTGTGAGAAGATCCGAAGCTATGTGTATGCGCCACGATCGGTCATCAGTCAAATATTTCCAGACGATGGTAAGCCTTTTTCATCCACAGAGCTTTTATATTATTTTACAAGAAGCATTTCTAAAAAAGCTTTATTAAACTTTATTATTATTCTTTTCCTTTTTCTTTTCTTTTCTTTTCTTTTCGTTTTTTTTTTTTTTTTTTTTTTTTTTTTTTTTTTTTTTAAAAAAAAAAACCCCCCTGTGCTATATAGAGCCATACGACATCACGGAGTTAAGTTTGGTCATGGACGTGCTTCGGTCAGACCAGATCCAGCCTGTACTCGAGCCCATGCAGATCAAACGTGTCTGGGATGCGCAGCAAAAGCTAGAGCATGACCGACTTGAAAAAGAGCGTTTGAAACGAGAGCGGCATCAGAGTAAATTTGAAAATGATCGGACAAGCGACTATGCCAGCGAAAGTGACTCTCACAGTAGTGGCTCTTCAAGGAGTAGCATGGAGGAAATGATGCAAAACAGCAGTAGAAACGTAGGCTCAAACGCCAATCAAGGAAAAGGGGTTGAGGAACCTGAACAGAATCTTGTCCAGCAGCTGCAACAACTTTTAGTGGCGCACCTTCGTATTCGTGACAAAGAGCGGCTCATGAGTTTGGTTTTCCAAGGAGTGACGGGTGAAATATTGAAGGAGGCCATTGCAATCTTTTACGAACCTTTAGTCAAGGTCTACAAGGCAGCTAATGTGGCCGATAGTTTGATGGATGTCAAGAATTTTGCAGATGAGCTTATCAAGACTGTTGAACAGGCTGAGCTCAATGATAATAGTATGTTGAAAGCAAAAGAAATTGGCAATGATTCTTTTTACACATTACAACATTTCCAAATGCTAAACATTTTATCTCGATACTATAGATAACCAGAAAAGTGGAAGCGCCGCAGGGCCGACCGCAGCGACACTCTACCTAAACCTCGTCCGTAAGCACCTGCCAACCTTTTATAAATTTGTCCATGCGGTTCACAAGCAAGACGACGGGATTTTCCATGATTTGCTTGGGTGGATCGAAAGTGTCATCACATTCATGCGGACTGGATATGGACATGTTCGTATTGACTACAAGACCGGAGAGGAGCTCCACGTTGGTATTAATTTGGATGCATTTGTGAAGGAGAACGTGAGTGCAGCCCAATGGGATCAAGTTCAAAAGGAGGCGCAGGAGTTGACAGCGTATTTCACTGAGGTCAAGGATCGAAAACGTGAACAAGTTCGTCGTATGGCAGGGCTTGACCGCGCTAGTCAAAGTCAAAGAGGTGGTGGCTACACAAGTAGTAGCGGCAATAGTTCTGCTACAGCAACCCCGCGTCTATCCATGGATGAGGGATACAACGATGCAGCAGAAAGAGAGCGAGAACGGATTACGAAGGAATTGACGGGTATGGGAATGCAACAGGAGGACGTTGATGAGTTCCAGATGATCAATTGGGATAATCACTATCATCACCCTCATCATGGCCAGGATGATAATATTGAAGATGATGATGTTGAAGGAGAGATGGGTTTAAAGATTCCTAAAGTACCAACCATTGATACCTTACTCACACCCTTTGTACAATTGATGGACAAGGTTCTCTTCCAGACAGCACGCGAATAAAATGTAAAATATATTTTTATATTAGGTTCTATAATTTCTTTCTATTTGATATTACTCTAATAATTATGAAGAAAAGGGTGAAACTTTGCCAAAAGTAGAAGAGACCTATTGGGTCAAGTCACGTCTTTCTTCCTGACGTTGGCGTTGATCTTGTCCTCCATTGTTGTTATAGTTGCCATTCGATCCATCATAACCGTTATGGTTGCCATTGGATCCTCCGTTGGAGTTACTAGAGCTACCGTTGGACCCTCTGTTGGGATTGTTATAGCTACCACTGGATCCTCTGTTGGGATTATTCGGTTGGTAGGACCCAGAGGAGCCATTCCCGTTGCTACCGCTGCCAGGCTGCTGATAGTTGTCCTCGTTACAGATCGGATTGGATTCTTCACCAGACCGATTACAGACGTCAGAAGGGGGTGAGTGACGATCAGAGGCCGGTGTGCCTCGCTTGTGCATGGAAACAGAAGACGCGGGTATAATCAACGGTCTGGACACAGGCACAGGGGCTGCATCGATGTGATGATGAACGATGAGAGTAGAAATAGCTAACAGAAGTACAAGCAAGGAAATAATAGAAGTCATGATGCGAGACTAGGGACAGGGGGAGAGAAGAATAGTTTTATTGAACCGAAAGGGTTAAAGGGTGATGAATGACAGGACGAAAAAGAAGAGACAGGGCAGAAAGGCGTTTTTTTTTTTTTTTTTTTTTGCAAGCTGATGGTTAAGTTATAGTTTGGGGGAAAGTGAAGAAAAAAGGAGGGCAGATGATCGATTTATATGACAGGAATGTTGGTGAGGATTTATGCAGTGCTTCTTTTTATTTTATTTTATTTTATTTTTTTTATGCAAAGCGACTGCAACCAATTAATCAATGCCGCTTCTGTAGAGTCAATATTCGGAATGGAAAAAGTATATCCAGCTCTTGAGAGAGATTGAGAGCGAGAAAGAGGATTGTGGGCGTTACTTGTTACGGTGCTCGTCAACAACTCCCAAGACTTCGGCTCTTTCTTTTTTTTATATCTTGTTTATGGCCAATTAAGCAGTAAGAATTTCGATGACCAAAATAAGGGGAAGGGAGAGCGGGAAGGGGAAGGGGAAGGGGTTATTGCAAATCCATCGTGGCAACAGATTGGAAAATTCATGTAAATGAGCAAAGAAATATGGTCCATGCTCATTTAAAGCATCCAAGCCAAATCTGAATCTGATTCTAAAAAAAAAAAAAAAAAAAGACACAAACGCCCTTCTATCTCCTAGATCGTAAAACGGGCAAATATGCCCATTTGGCTTTCATCGACTCATGGGCAGGCCAGATCCAGTTCTTTGAGCTTCCTACGAGAAGGAAACAACTGGCTATTATAGTGCGTAGAAGCAATGCTGGTATTCCAACTTGCTCGATTTGTATACTAAGGATATTAATAAAAAAAATTCAGCAAAAATCAACCAGCAGTAAAAATCAATCAGTAAAAATCAATCAGTAAAAAAAATCAGCATGGTCCATGTATCAAGCCATATCACCACGATGCACTACATTCATCTTTAAATAGCCTCCGCTCTGCGCATTTCCCAGCTTTCATCTTCTCCTACCCAGAGTAAGGATAAACAAACAACCACGTGTCTACCTCCATTGTTTTCTACCTCCTTCGTGATTTTTTTTTTTTTTTTTTTTTTTTTTTTTTGCTAGAGGTGTTTTACCGAGTCAGTCTCCATACTAGTCTAAAAAATGATTTGAAAAGAAAAAAAAAAAAAAAAAAAAAAAACAACGATTGATTGCAGGGTCAGATTGCTAGGATATGGTGTTGTTGGCATTCATAGATATTTGTCACTGGAAGTTCCCACCATACCAACCGCACCAGCTTCCTGGAATCCACTAAAAATACCGGTAGGAAGTGACTTATGCATATTGCATCTCAAATGCGGCCCGAAAAGTTTAAATCCATTACGGCAGCAGTGAGGACTGCAAGGGGGTTGTCGCGTTAGCGTTGCGAAGCGCTCGAGTAAACAATGGTTGGGGAGATCGACTCTCCCTTCACAGATTTGTAAGTGAAAGGATCATAGTTTTCATATGCTCGAGCAATACCGTTCTTTTGCTCATCAAGGCATACGTTCTAGGCTCTGAAGGTCCAATTCAACAGGTGCCTATCCAGGACAAGTCGTACTGAATAATCGCATTGACAAGCAAGTACAGTCAGGTCTACGTATAACAAGTATTTTATCAAAATTAGAGAATCAAAGTATTCAGTCCAATATAGAAATATATTCCACACGCAAGCACAGCAGTGGGGGTTATTAGTTCGAAATTATGGTAAACTATCTGTTTTAGAGAGACAGTTGTATACATGTACATACAGTGGTTTTTACGGTCGAAAACAATGAAATTGGCCGTAAAAATGAATGAAATTGGTCTCCACAAAAGATGTATTTTAAAACGCGAAAATTAAGATCATATATTGGCGCACATGACCTTATCAACCAGAACAAGGCCCAGAGCTCCATCTTCACCAGCTTTCACTTGTCCGGAATAGGAGCTTCGCCAGAGTTCTGGAAGGCTTTACTGGAATGCACCAACCGCAACCACTTGAAGATTTATCACAAATCTCTCAATGTTGCAGCGGACCATTGAGTTTGTCTGGATATTAAGAGCCAGGACGACCAAGATCGACCAGACGGCTGAAGAAGGCATGTGGCCGTAGTGTTTTTAACCAGGGCTATTTTTTTTTTTTTTTTTTTTTTTTTTGCCCATGACTGATGACGGTGTGTGCTATAAATCCATGTTACTACAGTGACCATAAAATTTGTAAAGATATTTTGCTCCCTAAACTTCAGTGTCTTGTTGCATGCTCCAAACGAACCGGATTGAGAAAGCAAACAGGATGAGCATAGCTATCCCCTATAATAAACAACATCCTCGATCCTAGAATTGATTTCCGCTCGTGAGTGCATAATAAAAAATCAAATACGTGATACACTGTGTCTAACTTCTACTTCCACTCAAAACTATCGCTTAGGTGCCAGTGCCTAGCCCATGTCCTTGGATATCACGACATGCTAACATAACCATATTTATGTACAAATAGAGACGCCACCCGCACTAGAATAAGCTCTTCATCTACGTCTTCTTCAATAGACACCTACACTATCTTTACCCCATCTTTGACTCCTATCAGCCTCTTTTGTCAGGAATCACTAACCATAACCCAATTAGTCACTAGCTCGGAAAGAAAAAGAAAAATTGGTGGCGTAACTCTGCACATCCTGCTTAAGGGTATCAGAGGCATTGGAAATTTTTAAAGCTCTTCTAATACGAGCCCTGAGGATTCACTTCCACATTTCACTTTCATTTCCCTTTTCTTTTGCCACTATTTCTTTCGTCCATTAACAAACACTCATTTCCCTCCTCCCGCGCAGTTCACATATACCATGTCGGAGGTTCAACAATCTCCGAAAGATTGGCCTCTTGCTGAGCTAAAAGTGGCCATCAATTTATCGGGTCAACCTAAGGAGCTTTATTTCCCATTATACCCTGGTGACAACACTGTGGGTCACAACGGTCTCATTCCAGCGAATGAAAAACCCAATGACATTAGTCTGAACTTCTATCCCATTATTAAGTCAAGACATTTTCTGATCTGTAAGCAGAGCAGAGAAGCCTACATGCGTCCTAATTGCTACTTCTCAATTTTTATTTTTTATTTTTTATCTTTTATTTTTTATTTTTTATTTTTTTTATTTTTTCGTTATACGAATACTCAGCTTTGACTCTAAAATTTTCATGAAATAACCATAGCATGCACTAAGGATCCCATGATCTTTATCAAAAGTACGGTGGAGCGCGTAAGTGCCGCGCACATGCAGAGTTAGAAAAAGATAGCACATTAGCTACGTAGGCTCACCTACTCCTTTCCTTTTTTCTATTTTTTTTTTTTTTTTTCTTTTTCTTTTTCTTTTTCTTTTATTATATCTCATTAATATTTCTCGCGAAACCTAGCCTGAAGATGCTAATGCTGTGATAATGGGTGAAAACGGACGTGATGGGCTCTCCATGAACAATGTCTATGTATGGGAGTTTTTAGAAAGCCGAGTATGTTGCGAACAGTTAATGAGTTCTCTCGACATTCATTAAAATCAACACTGAGCATTTTCAGAGTGCGTTACGTGGTTTATAACATCTAACTTCCTTGCGGTGCCTTCATCTAACATCACTAGCGAGTCTGCATTGGAAATGGTCTTATAACGCTCAGCTGTACGTATTTGGGTCGAAATCGAAGATATGGATTGCCTCGGGTAAATGTTATATGGTTTTCAACCGCCTCTCTTTATTGCCAAAGCAAATGACTGTATCCCTAGACTAATATCTTTGTTTATTGTTCTCTTTTGCTTTTGTGTTGTGTTATGTTGTATTGTATTGGGTTTCGTATCTTCATTCAGAGTGCTATGGGCCAGACACGTATAGGGAGAGAAATAAGTATGATTCGCAATCAACCCATGGCGTCGACTTCGCAAATTAAAAAAGAAGAACCCGATACATCGATCACAAATTTGGATGGAACTCACCAAGTGCCTATTCAGGATAGACCATTGGCTTCAGACGCTACTGACAGTGTGCCCGATGAATTTGAGCCAATGTCTAAAACACTCACTCTTCCAGAGATAACTCAGGAACTGGAAAGGCCTACAGATGAGATTAGAAATGAATACTATGACCCAGACAGGCTTCCCGCCTCTAATGAAGACGGGAATGTAGATGAAGATGATAATAGCGATAGCGAAGGCGAAGAGGAGCCTTCACATTCGAGAGTACCAAGCCGATTTCTTCCAGATGATATTACCAAAATACGTCGTGAGCCAGTTCCTCCAACCCCCGATCTTCTACCAACGCAACCATACGTCTCTGAAGACCATCAAACTGAGAGGACAGATCATGATGCGCTTACTCAGCTTCTTGAGCCAACTCAAGCGTATTTAGATCCTGATGCTCCGACTCAAATATTGGATCCTGCACTAGACTATAGCGAGGTGCGAATTAAACAAGAGGAAAACACGCAACTTGATACGATGGCGAAACCTCATTTACAACCACATCCAAGAAATGCACCTGTTCACGAGGATGAGACCGCAGACTACCAGCAAGGGAGAGTATGCGAGACACAGTCAACCCATGCCGAGACCCAATCTACTCAATCGCCAAGAAATTCTCCATCTTTAGAGCTAGAACCTGGAACCGCTTCAGGGCCCACACGTCGTATAGTCGAAAGGATTCCAGCAACACCGACCGATGAACAAACCGAAGCGAGACGGGTTAGGCAGGAAGGAATAGAAAATAAGAAATCTAGAGCACAATTAATCGAAGAGGAAGGCAAGGTGCCTCAGACGCCGGAGCACGCACCTGTGTCCCAAGCTTCCACTGCGGAGCTCAATCCTGCATCAGGATCTCGTGCTAATTCATATGATCGATCCTTTGGATCAGGAGGGCATGACGACAACAACAACGACTCTGTTTTCCATATTGCTGCCACTGCAGAGGATGGACAAGAGGGCGACAGAACACGACGATTGAGTTGCGATGAGGACGACCCTATGGCGGCAGAGCTCCAGGAGGGACTACCACGAGCAATCCTGAAAGGTAGTCAGGAGCCTGTGACCACCCCATCATCATCGCCGCCGCTACAAGCCCCAGTGGATAGAGGCTATGGCCCTGAGGGCAGTGGTCATTCACGGCCATCAAGTAGGACTTCACAAAGGACAAAGGAAGGTTCACCAAAACATGGAATCGAAAGCGATTCTGAGAGGGACTCACCTAAGCCATCCAAGCTCATTAGGACCGAGAGCCAAGTAGAAACCACAGAATCAATGGCCGAGAGACCTACAGCATCCACCCAGGTCCGTGCCACACCATCTCGAATGATGAGCAGACGATCGACACTAGATATGGACACTCACAAGGCTAAGGTCATGATCAGTGCTCCAGGACTGACTGACAAGGTATACGAATGGAGAGAGATCCATTCAATTGAATGATTTTCCGGTGACAAACGTCAGAAGAAATTCTAATCCGGTAAACATCTCTGGATTTTTTTTTTTTTTTTTTTTTTTTCCTTCTCAGGATAAGAAAAAGTGGGCGGAGGCCATTGAGAGCCTTGGAGGAGCATACAAGGAGGACTATAAGGAGGCGACGATTCTTGTCTTTGAAGGCAATTCGCGAACATCGAAATTTATGTGTGCTATCGTACGCGGCATCCCGATTGTGACAATGAATTGGCTTGAGGATTCGAAAAATAGTCATGAGTTTAAGCCATGTAAATGCAACCTATTGACTAGAAAGTCTTGCTACTGGCTTTTGACTATCACGTATGTAATGCTCACACATTTTTATTTTTATTTTCTTTGCTTGATCATGCAGCGAAGGACTATATCTTCAAAGACTCTGGAATGGAAGAAAAATTTGGGTTCAATCTAGCGGAGAGTTGTGCACGTGCAAAAGACAATTTGAATCACAGCATTGAATTGTTTCGATTTTACAGTTTTTATATTGTAAAAGGAGGAATTAATAAGGCTCGTGCGGAAGAAGGCCACATCACTCGCGAGGTGGCTGAAAGTACCATACGGCCAATGATTGAAGTATGCGGGGGAAAGGTAAAAAAAAAATGCTCTGTATTATACGCATCTGTTAAGAATAGAGTAATAGAGTAATATCGTCTAATACCACATTGATAATGATAGGTGTTGAGGTCTGAGCCCAAGGTAGTTGATGATAGCATTATTGTGATTGGGCCTGATGTCTTTTGCCAAAATACCCAGGACCTGATCAAGAAAGGATTCAAGGTCGTGAAGAGAGAATTCATTTTGAGCGCGATCCTACACCAAAAACTTGATTTCGAGGCGTAAGTCGGAGAAGTCAGAGCCTATTTTGGAAAACAATCGATGAAATCTGAGATGATGACTGACGATATAAACATACCGCCAACTTCTGTTATTATCTTATAGACATAAGATTGACTCTCGTGCATCACCACCGCCTGATGTGGGTGATGATGTATCAACTGCCGGCGAAGTCGAAGATGACGGAGGTAATGTAGCTAGTGATGAGTCAGGCTCCTCTGCCTTATCTCGATCACAACCACAGTCCAGAAAAGGCAAAACTTCATCCAGATCCGCCAGAGCTCCAAAGCCTGTCTCGCGTTCTGTTAGCTCCATCTCTGCAATAGAGGGGACTCTATCTGGAAAAGGATCATTCGACAGTTTATCACCAGTCGTTGCTTCCCCTTCTGTTGAAACGGGGGAACCTTCAACTTCATCGCCAAAATCAGCTCATGACGGTCGGCGACCTACAGCCACTCAGAGGCGGGTGCGAGGCCTAGCGCATGAAGGAAGCGGATCGAATTCAGAATCAACTGAAACGGCACCATCGACTACTACGACCAAGGTCACGAGGGTAGTCCGTGCAACCAAAAAAAGTGTAAGAACTGTGGCAACAACGTCAAAGGCGACAGTCAATACTGTTGAGAGTGGAGTTGATGTCTCTGATGTGGAGCATAAAGCTGAGCCAAAAAAGAGGGCCTCACAGCGTAAGCCCTCCAAAAAAGGGTCCAAAGTGACTACGGTGACAGATACAGAGGAGAGCGATGCTGTGACCACGCAAGTGGCATCATCATCAAAAGTGACAAGCGCGAAAAGTCAAGGCAAGAAAATAGCGAATCGAAAGAAGTAGGTCGGCTTGGGATTTTATTATGACGCCGATCTTTCTTTTTCTACATATAGTTTACTTGCTTTTTTTTTTTTTTTTTTTTTTCTATCCATCGTTTGCACATATCTTTGTATTACCACCTCTCGCCCTTTCCCACGCAGATAATAAAAAATTACACTATTCATCAGGCTCGTCAATCTAGAGAATGGAAGCTTGGGCATGTCTAATATCACTTGCATCTTATAGGAATTGTTATTGAACCTTTGTTTTGCACTTTTCAAAAAAATAAAAATAAAATAAACTTAAATAAAACGAGCAATGTACAAGAAAGATAGTCTTTTGACGCATCCACCATCCCCTCTTGTCGTTCTCATGTTTCTCATCCTCTCCTCTCCGCGATAAGCTTTGTATTATATGTAGGGTATTGGAGTGTATGTATGGAAAAAATATTTTTTTCGTGTCTTTAAAGTCGATCTGAAAAGTATTCCTAGTCTGGTGATTGAGTTCGGCCCTTGTCGCTCCAGCGAACTCGACTTTCATGACGCCTCCTTAATCACTTTCCTTTTTTGGCAGTATCACACATGGGTATTATCAGTAGTGATCCCTGCTTTGGTTGAGCTCGGCTTCTCAAGGCTCTGGCCCAACAGCCCATACGGTCATCAAAAAAGAAGGTCACCACTGTAGGTCAGTGTAACTTTTTGGACGTGACATCCAACTACAATCCAATGACAATAACAGTTATAGACACATCAATATATTTATACGGTTGCAGTGCTTCCTGTCTATTGACCTTTTATTAGAGAAAGCCCACATCGCGTCAACGATACCAATTATTTATTACATTTTATATTTATCTGAGTGTGATGGTGATGACTCCAAAGCGTTCTATAAATGTAACAAACGTAACAAATGCAACCGAAAATTGCCTCATGAGTTAGTAAAAAAAAAAAAAAATTGACAACTTTTTTTTATTTTATTTTTATTTTTATTTTTATTTCTTACCCTAAGCATGATAGAAATCCGTCTCTCCTTGGGAATGATCTTACCCTTGAATGCATGGTCCTGTGGGTCGATTGGGATGCCATGTTTGTAGTGATATCGAACCTGGCCCCGCTGGAAATAAAAACACCGTTTAGGTAAAAGGACTCTGAAAGTTTTGTGATGTGGGTCGGATTCATGGATCAACTCCATCACAGCATCTGAACCCAAACAGAGTCCAGCAACGACTTCTCCAGAAGCATCTAAGTGATCCACATGGGGTTTGATCCCACCCTTTTCAGACTCGAGCTCCAAGATGTGTGGCGAGACCCAATGCCAGTGTAGAGGAAAGAACTCGCGTTTGATAGATTGCATAATTTCAAGAGGGGTCGTTCTCTCGGGACGAGCCATCGCTGAAGTTGATGTTGATGAGAGTGCATCTTCACCTGGGCCTGCGCCTCCACTACTACCCCATTCTGAGGCCGAGCATTCACGGTATCGAGTAATGACGCCATCGAAATGTCCATCCTCATATCGAATCTGTTTGCCAAGAGCGCGCTTCAATTTCCTGACGGCGGCATCGACAAGCATATCATGTTCTGTTGAAGAAAGATAATCAGGTACAAGGATGAAGTCCTGCAAGATCTGACTTCGTTCTTTAGGATCTTTGATTCGAGAGAGATCAAAGTGTGTTGCAGCAAGATGATCAGGGGTGCAAAGTTTCTGATAATTCAAAATATCTGTTGATAGTGATGGGGATGGAGAAGACGGAGGTATTTGGGAAGATAGAATGGATGGCTGAGTAGAAAACTGCCTTGAATGATGGTGATAGCATGGCATTGCTATCGTGTGGATCTTTGAAAACTGGTTGATACTTGGTTTATTGCCGCGAAGGAAAAAGGGGAATGAGTTGGAATTAGCAACATGATTCATTCTAGTAAATGACGCTCCCTCATTCAAAGATGACAGTGGTGTTGGTGCTCTGTTGCTGAGCCTTGAGAAAACTCGTATTCCCAAGGTATAGATCCTTGACATTTTTTTTTTTTTTTTTTTTTCTAGTTTTGTTCCATTGATTGTAATGAAAGTGGGCATTTCATTTGTTGTATGAAAGTGTAGGGGGGAAAATCACGTGACAGGCGCGCGTCAAACGATCACTTCACATGCCACAATAGTAAAACAATTACGCCAAAGCAAAAGGGCATTATTGTTGTACGACCATTGTAACAAGAATCTACCTTATCGATTAGCACGCAAACATTTGAAGTGGATAAAATGATGTTGATGTCAGAAAGAGGGGAGGAGGAGGGGCAATGGACGGTTTATTAAATAAAAATCACACATCTCGCTCATGTTCTGTATTACACGTTTAGAAATACAAGGATATACGAGCGAAGGGTGGGAGAAGGAAGACATTGGTGACTTTTGTGAAATAGAAATGAGGCTAGACCTAGACTCAAACAAATGGTCCTTTTGACATAAATGGCAATGATATATGCATGCACTGTTAAAAAAAAAAAAAAAAAAAAAAAAAAAAAAAGAAAAGAAAAGGAGGAAAAGTGCGAAGCGAACTAAAGAGCTTACGGTTTTTTTGTTGTTTTGGAATTGACAGGGTGCTACAATGTTTATATTAGCAGGCATGATTGCCTCATCTTCCAGTGCTATTTCCAGATTATTTTCCGCAATTAATGGCGATTCTGACTGTAATTATGAATTGTTTAAGTGCCACGCTACGCCACACTACATCATACCGCGCTTTTTTGATCGGCTCCATAATTTAATTAGAGTCTCGGTTCAAAATGATCGAAGCACACTAAGAAGGGACGACTTAATATGGTGTCCATAGATGTCAGAAGTCATTGTTGTTGTGATATTCCGTTATTCATTGTCCCCTGAGTGATGATGGATGTTTAAAATAAGCTCAGCATCTTGCTGTATCCAAACATGTCTTTTGACGCAAAAAGTCATCCACGATAATGCGATGTTGCTTTGAATCTCCCCCTTTCAGGGGTTATGAAACTGAGACATTTTAAATGAAAATGACCTCAGTCAGCAGGCAAGTGTTACAATCTCGAGTATTTAATGTTTTTTTATAATTTTTCATTTAAATCATCATTCTCTCATTCCCATTCTCATTCAGTTACATTTTCAGCAGGATCTGTCTCAAAAATGGCCAACAATAATTCAACTGCATCTAATAACAGCGGAGATGTCTTTGTCTATCTTGACATTGAGATTGGTGATCAAGAATACAAGGCTACTTCATGGGATCTGTATGTTTTTTATGATGTTTGGCTCTTGTCCATATTAATGTTATATCATACGTGTATTAATATTCTATGTCCCATCTGTGCCTTTCTCTTCATTTTTTTTTTTTTTTTCAAACTACGTTAAAAAACATACAAATCAAAATAAATAAAGCTATCGCCGTGGACAGGCCTTCTTTGCCACACATGGCTCCCTATACGGCTACGCTGGAATGACTTTGGAAGAACTTGGATTTGAAGATAAACAAAACCTTCAAGAGATTTATGATTCTAACCCAGTATTGACTCAAGGCGGCTCCATTACCTTGAACGAACCTGCACCTTTACCCGGTGGTCGTTTGATCATCAAATTGGATCATGAAGGCTGTCCTAAGACTACTCAGAACTTCCTCAATTTTGTGGAATCAACCTACACAAACAAGGTCCATGAGGCTACATATGTCCACACTCGATTCTTCCGTCTCATCAAGGACCATATCATCCAGGGAGGTGATTTCACCAAGAATGATGGCAGCGGTGGCTTTTCAAGTTTCCCTTCGGTCGAAAACCCAAAACCTTTTGCAGATGAACGCCATGGTCTTCGAAAAGGAGTCTTCAAGAAGGCAGGTGTCTTGGCCATGGCGAACCGAGGCAAGAATTCAAATGGGTCACAATTCTTTTTGACAATTGGAGAAGGACCTAGATGGATAAAGGCTTTGGAAGGAAATTATGTGGCATTTGGAGAAGTTGTAGAAGATGTAACGACTGAGGCTGCAGCAGGGACAACTCAAGGCAATGACTATGGTAGTAGCGGCGCCAATGGCAGTACCAGAAAAAGCAGCATAGGTGGAACAGGCGTCGATGGATTTGCATTGCTGGACAAATTGAACAAGATCCCAACCGATAATGAGGAGCGACCTATCCAGGCTATAACCATTATTGGATGTGGACGTCTGGAGTTATAACTGCAGCAGCAATGACAGCAACAGCATCAACAACAACATAAAAAAGAGTACATTCCAACCAAATCACAAACATATTCACACATTTGCATAGTTTGTTTGTCTTTCCCAAATATACCATGTTTCGCTTCGATGTTAATAAAATATATTTGAACAACATTTGTTCATATAATTCCCCATCAAGTGTTGCCAATAGACAATTCGACCTCAATAATTGCATCGTCATTTACATTGTTATTGGCTAGTATGAATGGTTCATAATTCTCATGAACAATTAAGAAATGAGAAAGCTTATTGCGGTTATTTAATTTTATTATTGTTGTTACAATTTCAAGTGAATGTTTGTCTGTACTACTAATTAAATGCAACTCAAGGTTTTTTTTTTTTTTTTTTTTTTTTTTTTAGAACTGACACAAAGTGGAAATAACCTCTCCTGACTGGAATTCTGCCTCCGCCCTCAGCTCCGTCAATCCAAAATACATCCTCAATGTGAAAATAACAGGCGTTCCAGGTGCAGCACCAGGCATATGGGGCAATGGGATCGTAAAGTCACACAGCTTTTGGACTCCAGGCGAATCCACAAACTCTGGTTGATCCTCTCCATTGTAGACATACAATGGTGATGACAATGGCTCTGGGTACTTGTGAGTGATGTATTTTTTACTAATACATTCATCCACACCAATCGACTGACCTGGGCGAACAAAAACCGAGAATCCGTCTCGGACACGATACTTGCCATCCTGCATATATTTTTTCTCTACAGGATCGCCTGCCTTGTAAGGGCGTGTGGTGTCGACACCATACCAACGACGGGCCACACGAGCCTGGACGGGCTGGTGGGTCAATCCATGGTAGACCGCACCACGAACCACAGCCAGATCTGGACGTGGAGGGTAACGAATCAAGGGTACACGATTCTCAAACTCTTGCTGAACACGCTTATGCAAGTATGGCGAAGAACCAAAACCACCGACCAAGAAGATGGCAGAGCACTGCTGTGATTGGTTTAGTTGTCCATCAATCAGACCCAGGACCTGATTCACAACGGGGTCAAAGACCAACTCTCGCATCTCCTGTGCTGAAATCGCCAACAGACCATCCTCGAGTCTCATTTCCAAATCCACCAAGTTGGCAACAGATGCTGGCATCGAAATGAACGCATCGTCATCACCATCAAATTGGGGCTTATGCATGAACACAAACTCTTCCATAATCTGAGCCCATGCCTTGGGTTGTAGGTCGTACCGCTGCAACTTTTGACGGACCAACATTGAGAAGTTTTCATCCAAGAACCCTGATCCACAGCTGGCACCTGATCCACGGGTGACCTCCACTAAGCGACGCGATCCCGTACTATAATCAACCTGAAAGACAATCAAATCAACCGTACCACCTAATATGAAAAAAAAAAAAAAAAAAAAAAAAATGGAAGATGCATGCAGAAAAAGAGGGTTTGAGTTTGATGAAATCAATGAAATCAATTATACAAGTTTACATGTGCAACATTTGTACATACAAGAAACAAAGTAAACAAAGCTTCTGTGTATGTGTACAAGTGTATATGTTTTGTGTATGTGAAAAAAAAAAAAAAAATTACCTCCAGCATCGCAAATCATGAATCGGTCTCCATGACGCAAATTGAACTGCTCACATTTCTTTTCACAATACATGGCTGCAGCTTCGGGTTCCGATACCAAGAGCAGACGGTGAGCTGGATCGCTGGGTTGAATCAATCCTGCCTGAATAGCTGTTTGACGCATCACACCCTTGGCAGCGTCTGTCCACATGGCAGGGACTGTAAGACAGTATTGAATATGGGACTGGTCAAAGACCACGCCTCCAGCTGTGTTCTTGAAGATTTCACCGATGGCATGAGTGTGGAGTGCTCGCAAATAATCGCTGATGGCGTTCTGAGGGTTGATAGTCCTGGGTAAAGGTGGCAGATAAGGTGCCAAATCATTATCAAGGAACAACTTGAACTTTTGAAGGAGATCCAGGTTGCGACTAGCAGGCGTCAACATGGCTGCCTTGGCTGCATAACCCCATGAATGCATCTTGTCATTCTCTTTACTGTATGCACTCACAGTCGGTACTTTTCCGTACAAGTTAGCCTGCTGAGGCCTAGTGTTAAGAACAAATAAGCGAAAAAAACAACTAATCAGTCTAGGCTCATCAGCTAAGTCGATATACTCCGAAAAAAAAAAAAAAAAAAAAAAGAGAGAGAGGGGCAAATAAATGTCAAATAGATGCCCACACAGCCCAAAACTAAACACACACACTGCACACACAACACACATTCAGTGCACACACACACCAATGCTTGAAATTCAGGAGCAAGGGCTGAGTCAACAACAAGAATACCGCCCACGCTCTTGGTCAAATAGAAGGAAAAAGAAGGCCAATGAACAATCATCATTTCGCTGACAGATTAATAATGACAAATTACCATGTAGTCATCTCAATAACATCTCCATTCGATTTGAATGCATATGCCACTCCCGAGAATGTTGTTCCTATTATTAAGTGTTATATATTAGACACAGGTCCTTTTTTTTTTTTTTTTTTGATAACGTGTGAATTCTTTGGACGTTTAAGACTTACCAAAATCAATAGCGACCAGAAGAGGATATTCACCACCCAAAGTGGGAGCAGGAGGTCGGATCTGTGTCTGGGTAGGAACAGCAGGATGTTGTTGTTGTTGTTGCTGTTGTGGTGGTGATTGCTGTTGTTGGGCAGCAGTAGCACTGCCGCTGCTGTTCCTGTTGTAAGAGAGAGGCTGAATTGAGACCGTGGCAGGGACTCCAACAGGTGATTGCTGATGCTGTTGTTGCTGATGCTGTTGGTACGGCGGTTGTTGATACTGTTGGTGTTGTGGGTCCTGATACTGTTGGTATTGCTGCTGCTGCTGGTAATACTGTTGCTGCTGGCCACCATATTGGTCATATGGCTGCTGTTGTTGCTGGTATTGCTGATGATATTGTTGGCCGCCATAGGGATCTTGTTGCTGATAATATCCCTGTTGGTTCTGTGGAGGTTGTTGTGCGTAGCCACTATAGGCGTTTACATTGGTAGCAGAAGGCGAATATCCACCACCTCCGTTTTGCTTCTGAAGGGCTGCATGGTACAGCTGACGCTGTTGAGCGATATGAGGAGGAACGTCGCCGTTGGCAGCCATTTATTGTGGAAATCTAAGAGAGAGAGAGAGCTATTTGTGTATGCGTGTTTGAAAAGAAAGAAAAGAAAAGAAAAGAAAAAAAAAAAAAAAGAGAAAGAGAGAGAGAGAAAAAGAGAGATGTGTGATGGCCCTGTAAAAGAAAGAAAGAAAGAAAGAAAGAAAGAAGAAAAAAAAAGAGCAAAGCGGGTAAATGAATGATTGAGAGCAGTTGAGATTCAAAACAGAAAGAGAAGAAAGAAAAGAAAAAGAGAAAATGAGAGGAGTGAGGATCCTTTTCCTTTTTCTTCGGCCTGGTTAAAGTTTCTGTTATTTTTACCTTATTCCTTTCTGCGCGTTCGATGGAGGAAGGGAGGAAGGGAAACGAGAAGGATTAAAGGGTGGTTTAACAGCGAAAAATAAACGAGTGTGAGAAAGAAAGAAAGGGAGAAAAAGATTGGAGGGTAAAGAAAAAAAAAGAACGAGCAACTTTCTTCATGCTCTTATTTTTTTTTATTTTTTTTATTTGTACTCCTGGCAGAGAGAATGGGTCAGAATCATGAATGCACAACTGTGCGCTTTTGGGGTTATTTTTAGCCACACAGGCTGTGGCGGTGCTGTTTGACTGCCCAAATAATCAAAATGACGGAGCGATTAATAAACAAGGAAAATATATGCTAAGCAAATATATATATTTATATTATATGACATGATATGGTTACAGAAAGTAATAAGAAATGAAAGAAAAAACAAATGCCATAATCTAATGTTCAAAGTCAACTTGTTGGTCAGATTATTCAAAACGGATCTTGGTGGGCTGTTTGACCTCACCACCAAGGTCCTTGAAGTGGTCGCCATAAACTGAATGAGCCTTCTTTTTGACCGTACCACCAAACTTGCGGAGTTCATCTGGGATCTTGACGCCTGCGTCGTTGAGTACATTGATCAGAGCTCCGCTAAGACCCTTTTCATTTAGTGTGAAAAATGTGTGTGCTACACCTGTCTGTCCACCACGTCCAGTACGTCCAATGCGATGGACATAGTCTTCTATTGTCAATGGGAAAGTCACGTTGATAACATGTGTGATGCCAGCGATATCAATACCACGAGCTGCAACATCCGTGGCAACTAGCAGAGGAATCGATCCATTCTTAAAGGCCTCCAGGGCAGCGGAGCGGGTATGTTGGTTCTTGTCTCCGTGAATGCCACCCACTTTATACCCGGCTCTTTGTAATGCTTGCTCGATGCGATCAGCCTCCTTCTTGTAAAGGGCAAAGATCAAAATGCGGTTCTTACGAGTCTTGTGATACTCCTTCAATAGCTCGAGGAGTCGACGCTCCTTGTTGCGGGGATCATCCAAGACCTCCACTATTTGAGTAACATTTGAGGAAGCACCCAAGTCAGGAGATCCGATCGTGACCTTGATAGGGTGATCCAAAAAGTCATGAGCTAGCTTTCTGACCGATTCAGGCCAGGTAGCACTGAACATGGCCGTCTGACGGTCCTTGCGGGTCTTACGCAAGATGGAACGAATAGCCTCCTCAAACCCAGTGTCCAACATACGATCTGCTTCGTCCAAAACCAAGTATGAAACAGCGTCGATATTGCAGCTTCCATCCTCCAACAAATCCAAGAGACGTCCAGGAGTAGCGACAATGATGTGAACACCTTGGCGAATAGCACGACGTTGATCATCCTTAGAAACACCTCCATAGATACACACACTCTTGATACCTGAGGCTTTTCCAGCAGCAACGCATTGTTCCTGGGTCTGCATCGCCAACTCACGGGTAGGAGAAATAACGAGGACAGTGGGAGCCTTGGGCTTGATGTTGAAATCTTTTTGTCCACGGATGTGCATCAATGCTGGCAGAGTAAATGCAAGAGTTTTTCCGGAACTATGTACCAATGACACACAAACATAAAGAATAGGATGTCAATAAGATCAATAAGCTCAATAAGAGTTTCATCTTGCACAAAAAGCTATCAAAATAGGAGAATATCTCTTTGTAGCTTTCAAAGTGGAAAAAGAAAAAAAGAAAAAAAAATAGATTCTTACCCAGTTTCAGCAATACCAATAACATCTCGGCCAGAAAGGATGATGGGCCAGCAGGCAGCTTGAATTGGGCTGGGTGATTTAAATGCCTTCGTGACTTCCAACATCTCTGGTTTGAAACCAGCCTCGTCAAACTTGAGAACAGGTAAAAACTCTTGGTCGCCAGAGACCTCAATAATGTTCTCCTTGTAAAACTCACGAGCCTGTTCTTTGGTTGTCTTGTTAGTTGTAGGGTTATAGAAGGCCTTGATGAGCCCGCTGGCAGTAGGCTCGATTCCAGAGATGACAGTTGCTTTCAGGGGCGAGGCCACATCTACTTCAATAGCTTTGAGCTTCTTAATGACCGGTTCATCTGCAGAGTCCTCATCCTTGGATACTCCTTCCTCCTCATCTGAAGCCTTGCGTTTCTTCTCCTTCTTCTCCTTCTTCTCTTTCTTTTCTTTCTTATCCTTTTTCTCCTTCTTGTTCTTCTTTTCCTTTTTGTTCACAACTGTTGTAGAATCGTCATCAATATCCATTGCGATGGACTTTTCCTTCTTGCTCTTCTTACTCGCCTTAAGAGCTTCCTCAGCAACTGTTGATGGCATTGTAGGATGGGTTTGTGCAAGGAAGAGAGGAGGAACAGGAAGGGAAGGGAAGGGAAGGGAAGGGAAGGGGAATGGAAGGAGGGAAGTGAAGGTGTGAGTACAAAAAAAAAAAAAAAACTGTTTACATGTACATTTCCCCTTTATTGTTTATTCGTACATACTATGTACGTGTGACATGTAACAGTCACCAATTCTAACGTGACTACATTTCCATGCGTTTCGGTAATATTTCCACATTATTAAACAATATTGCATGTATTCATTTCAAGGAGTCCACACAATTCATTCTTTTTTTCTTCAAGTTTCCATTCCATTTCTTGTTATTCTTTACTTTGCTTCAGTTCACTTTACTCTTTTCTCCCCACTCAAACAATATCTTACGTGGTATTACCCATTGACCTTTATTGTCTTTCTTTCTTTCTTGTTTTCTTTCTTGTTTTCTTTCCTTTCCTTTTTTTTTTTTTTTTGAGGACGCATCACAATGGAAAGTGACGATAGCAACAAACCAAACTATTACGAGCTTCTTTGCTTGGACCCATCAGCTACAAAGGAAGATGTCAAGAAAGCCTACCGAAAACAAGCTCTTCTCTTTCATCCAGATAAGATGAAGCCTCATATGAAAGAAGAAGCTTCACAACACTTTCAACTTATCAGTGAAGCTTATGAAGTCCTGTCAGATGGTAAAGACGCCTTTTATTTTGCCTTTTTGTCCAACATACCACAACAATACCACCACGCGGTTATTTTCTAAATTAATCACTTATTTTATGCACTGACCCTTCCTCGTGTGTGAATGCATGCGTATTTTTTGTAACAATAAAACAATAGATAAAAAGCGTGAATTGTATGACCGCTTTGGACATGAAGGAGTCAAAGCTGGAGGTGATCCTAACCCACCACCCCAAGCCGACTTTGACTTCTTCCAGCATGGACCACATCAAGGATTTGGTTTCGGATCACCATTCTTTTCATCTTTTGGAATGCCTGCTCACTTTCAAGGTAGTTTCCTTATCCTTCCTCCTTTTTTCTTCTTTTTGTTAATATTTTATATGCTTGTTGTACTCATAATATTGATTTATTATTATCATTAAACTTTTAGACCCGTTTGAAGGCCATCATCAACGACACATGAGGAATTTCCATGAACAATTTGATTCTATGTTTAGTGGATTTGGAGGCTTCCCCATGTTTGGTCATGACTTTGGACATCATATGAATCATCATGAAAATCTTCGTCAACAACACCGCAATGCTTTCAACTCACAACAATCAACGAGGCCAACCTTATTTTCAACATCCCCATTTGCAAGCCAATCGCAAACTCAATGGTCAGGCCAAGGGACAAGTACAAATCCATTCATGGATATGGGCATGGGCATGGGCATGGGTATGGATGGCGGCAGTACTATGTTCTCTTCCTCTTCATCGTCATTCGGTGGCGGACCCAGGACATCCACTAAGACGACTATTGTGAACGGCCAACGAACTACTATAACTGAAGTTACGGATGCTCAAGGCGTGACCACAGTAACCAAGGAGAATCCTGATGGGACGCGAGAAACTTTTGTAAATGGTGTACCAACAGCTATTGAAGGGGGGACGAATCCAGAGATGAGAACACTGCCAAGGAATGACCAGCAACCAATTGTCATTGATGATGATGATAGATATGGGTATAATCACGGCAGCAACAGTAATGGAGGCGGTGGTTCAGGACATCGTTCAGGAATGTCTAATAGCGGTGGCGAATACGGACGTCATTCAACCTCCGCATTCAATGCATCAACAACGAAGACTTATCAGCCTAATTCTAGTAACCATGATGGTCGTCGTACGGCGGCAACAGCAGCAGCAACGGCACCTACAGAGCCTATTGTGCTTGATACTGATGATGATGAAGACATGTATGAGGAGCTTTCAAGGCAACATCCACGCCGTAACTCTGTTCATATCACCTCTGACCCTGATGAGGATCCCAATATGTATCATCCTCGAATGGGGCGTGGACGAAGTAAGTACATTGGAGCACTAAAAGAGGTTTTTCCCTGTTGTTGTTGTTGTTGTTGTAGATGAATGCTGATGGATAGATCATGATGAAGAAGAATGTGCGTTGAATTCAGTATGTATACTAACGATAACGACTATGTAATTTTATCGCCTGTCATAGAACTCGGTGGAACAAATTCTTCATCTCGACGGTACACCCGCAACTGAATTAAGGGACATGCATACTTCAAATCCTCTCCTTAACAATCTACGCTCTTGATTAATCACTTGCTACTACTTCTCATACGCATATACATCATGTCGCAAATAACAATAAAGCTCATTTTGAATAAAAGAAGAAGACAAAGAGGCAGAAGCAGAGTGACAATGGAAATTTTATTATGATCATTATAATCAGTATAAGGCTGTCTTTCATTATTAAGAAACATGTAATTGCGAGTGCTTTTTTTTTTTTTTTTTTTTTTTTTTTATACAGAAATGAAGGAAAGTCAAAGCAAAATGCACAGGAACAGATTGATGAACAAAAGGCATATTAATAATAATAAATGATTTAAATTGGGTGCTGCTTCCAGGGGTCTTTGTTAATAACCTGACGCTGATGCGTCTTGATATGTTGGGCTAATGAAATGAATTGAGAAAAGGTCATTAATGATCTATGGTATCATGGATGTTGACATAGACGCTGTTATAACTAGAGTTTTTTTTTTTAAAAAAAAAAAAAAAAAAAAAAAAACTTACAAAGATTATCAGAGCGTGAGAACCGTTTACCGCAGCCAGCAGTCTGACAAGCGAATGGTCGTTCAAGTGTATGGGTTTTGATATGTCGCTTCAAATGTTCTAAACGCTTGAACCGCTTCAGACATCCAGGGACAGAACAACAATGATTCTTGGCAGACGAGGTCGTTCCTCTTGTACGAACACCCATACCCATACCCCCCTTCATACTCATACTCGAATTTCCGAGCCCTCCATGAAGAGGCCGGTGTAACATGGAGGAAGAAGATGCCATCGAAGATATCCTATGATGGAAAGGAGAGGATGGACCATGACCATCCATAGGGCGATAGTTGTGATAATGGTGTGAATCTTGCGGATGTTGGTGTTGTTGATGGTACTGGTATTGGTATTGGTGAGGTGGTTGTTGAGAGTGTGGGTAACTGTGATGATGAGGTGGGCCTGTTTGCCCAAGTGAAGGTAGTGTTTGGCAATGTGAGACTGGATAAGATGATGGTGACGATGTGGCCATGGGATGCCCAGATGGATGGTGGTGTCTAGAATGATAGGATGACTCCATTGAGGAAGCATCCATGTAGCCTTCGTTAAGAGCACCATCAGCAGCTGAGTGATGCTCATCAATATCTTCTTTCACAGGTACATTTTCCGAGTAGTTGTCTGCATGGTATCCGTTAGACTTGACGTCTATAGTGCTATCTCCGTTGTTGCTGCTGTTTTCGCTATAGTTACTGGGCCTTGGTAACGAGGCGAACGAAGAGCTAGAGGGAGAAGGAAGATCTCCATTTGGCACATCTTTGCTCCCTTTGGAAGGCGTATCGACATGGGACATGACAGGAGAACTCTGTCTTGAACCCCGAGCCCCATTAGCTGGTAAAATTGCACTTGAGCCCGTGCTAGGAATTACAGCGCTGGCAGACGAAGCAGAATGTTGCGGTACGTCTCTGCTCGGCATAAAATGGGACGAAATGGAAGTTGGGAAATCCATAGACCCCTCGTAGCTTCCATCACTCGTATCCATGGCTTCCACTGCAGGAAGTCGTGAAGACAATGTTGGAGACTCACCATTGGGATTTGGGTTGGCACTCTCGTGACCTGTAAGACCATTATGACGGGATGGTTGCTGGTACTGATGCTGCTCTTGTTGCTGGTGATAATGATGGTGCTCATGTTCCCGTCCGTGTTCACTTGGGCTCATTCCAGTATATCGATTTTGAATAGATAAAAGAGTTGGAGAACTGGGTCCAGCAGATGATTTCATGGTGGTAGAGTATGCAGCGGCAGTGTCAATGGTTTTGTTAATGTTTTCTGGACTTGGATATCGCTGGTAAGAGCTTTGTCCGTTCATAGGTATAGAATAAGATTGTTGTCCATATCCACGTTCGCTATTGCCTTCATATGTCCGATCAGACTTTCCCTCTTCACCTTCTCCTCCTCCTTCTTCTCCTCCACTACTACTACGTTGAAACTGTTGCGCCGGCATATCCTCTGAATGACTCATCGCACTTTTAAGGTCAAGTTTAATGGTGTCAAACTTGGGCACAATATTGCTCAGGTCATCTGACGAAGGTGAGTCCAAAGGATGCATACCGGAGGAGGTAGAAGAAGGATTGTGGCGAGGAAAAGGACCGAATGGCAAGGGTAAGGGTGACGCAACAGCAGGCAATGATGTTGTTGGCATTGATGACTTGCACTTGTAATCTGCAATATCGGACGAGGAGCAGTATGAATTTCTGGCAGATTGACTAGTATAGTTTGGTCCTGAAGATACTTGACCTATTTGTTCGGATTCAAAAAGATGATAAAAAACAGGTAAAATTAGATATTTCCAGACCATTTCGATATTAGTACTCATGATTCAATAGGCGACTTTTCTTTATACCATATGGAAAGCTGCTCTGTAACTGGACAGGTGACCGCGATCCTGGCCTGAAACTAGGATATCCCGCAATACTGTGTCGATGATGTACATGGTCGCCAGCCTCGGGTCTGTTTTCAAACCCGGCTCCAGTCCCCATCCCTAAATCAGACCCTGCCACCCCTGCTGGATACATACTCTCGCGCTCACTTGCGTTTCCAGATATGACAGTATCGCCCTGAGCATTACTTCGAGCACTATGAGATTGAGGCAGCACTGAACCGTTGTTTGCAAAGTTGGTCCGAATAGGTTCCGTCATCATCATTTGTCGATCAAACCCCCGCAGGTGCATCGCAGCTTTCTTGGTATGCGTCCTCATATGGGCGGAGAAATTGTCCGAGCGGCTGAACGATTTCTCACAGCCATGGAAATCACATACAAACGGCCTTTCTTTCGTATGGACCAGCATGTGCCTCTTGAGGTGCTCAAATCGTTTAAAACTCCACCCACAGGTGGGAAATTTGCAAGGATGCTTATTGGATCCACCACTAGAACCACCATTATTGATACCAAAATCAGCATTGGAAGCATCATTAGTAGTAGTAATAGCAGTAGTAGCAGGGTAACTCTGACTCATAGAAGATGAGCTGGACTGGCTAGCATTGGAGGATATAGAGTTATTGCGATTTTTGCTCATTGTCATGGCTGGACTCTGATAATTGCTATTGGACATCCGGAGACCATTATTTATAGTAGCGCTAGCTGTATATGGGGCTGAATATGATGTGGAAGAGGACTCGTAAAGGTGTTCAGAAGGATAAGACCCTTCACGATGGTTGTAAGGTTGGCTTTGGTGGCGTTCATCAAAGCTATTGCTACTGTTATTATTGGCACGATAATCCGCATGGCTAACGGCTGCTGCATGATGATAGGCTCCACCGATGTTGGGACGTTGATGTTGATGGTAGTCGTCCCGGCTACCATGGCTTCCCCCGGCTGATTTCGCCGCTGATCCTCCGCCCCGATGATACAAACCTGCCTCTAACTCATGATAACTGGCGCTATATCCTGCCCAGCTTGACCGCGATCCGGCTTGTGCGGAATGATATGGAGGAGGGGCAGGAGGGCAATGAGCACCGCCAGGATGGCTGATGGTCACGCGCCGATCGATGGATGTCTTTCGGTCATGCTGAAGATGATGAAAAGAAGCTACATCGGATGCAGCCGAAGCGGCTGTTGACAATGAGGGTAATGAAGCTGAAGCGGAAAGTGTTGGAACAGAACTCCTCCTAGGCTCGTTGCCTGGTATGGATGGATAAGAGGATAGCGATTGGCTCGATGAGTTTGATGTTGTGGAGTCACCAAAATTCGGCGAGTAGGATATACTGTGGCTATAGCTGCGGTTATGATTATGGTTAAGAGTGTGAAAGTGGGGTGGAGGTTGAGAGTGGCTGTCTTGCTGGCCCTGGGTATGGCCATGGCTATGAATATGGCTATTGCTATGGCTATGGCTATGATTATGGTTATGGTTGTTGCTATGGCTATAATCTCGGGCTGTGTCAAAAGAATCTACAGCAGTAGATGATGTAAGAGGCGTGGAAGCTGTGGTCATCCTGTTTGGAACAGCGGGACAAAAGATTATTTGAGATGATGTTGAGGCAGAAACACGGATAGAGCTAAAAGCGGAAAAGGAAAAGAGGAAAGGTAAGAATAGTAGAAGGGAAGGGAAGCGAAAGAGAAAGAGAGAGTCGCGCGTTAATAACGCGTTTTTTCAGGATCAAATTCCGAGAATGATGAAAAAGGGGAGTTTTGACAAAATTGGTTCCTTCTCCAAAAAAAAGTATCCCTTGTTGTACACCAAGGGATGAAAAATAAGGGACTTCTTCATTTACTGTTAAATAAATGTGCACAAGGATGCTATTGAGGGACAGGGGAATAAAGACACTAAGAGGAACAGCCGGAGAGATTTTATAAAGCGATCCGAGCGCAAGTATTCTAGGGCTATAGATCATCTCACTAAAAAAAAAAAAAAAAAAAAGGTGGAAGGAAGAGATCAATCTGTTTGCGAGGCTGTGTGTGTGGATTCGGATTTGTGTATGGTTTCAGTGCAATCAAAAGGACCCAAGCACAAAGATGAACAAAGAAACATCTGGTAATGATTTCAGGGAGATGGGGAGAATGCAATGAATAACTTGTGGTTTTAACGAACATAGAAATTGTACTATTGAAATAGCAAAGAAAATGGTTAAGATCTTCGATCTGCAACATTTTTTTTTTCAGTACAATGATCAAACGTTAATCGTAATATATAAGGGGTCAAGGGGCCCCAACCACAACGCCAACAGGATATGAACACTAGGCAAGGGATTACGTACTGACAGAACAAACAAAAAAATACAAAAATACATCGGGTTGATCGATCAAGAAAGTAGACCTTGTCTTGCAGGTTTCATGAAAGAAACTATTTAGCTGTGCGTAGTGCTCTTTTTTTTTTTTCTTTACCACTTAAGCTGTAATAACTGTAGGGGGATGTGCAAGAGAAAAGGCAGGAGGGAGAAAGGGACAGGAGGTCCAAGCAAGGATCAAAATACTTTTCAGGAGGTGAATCAGGAGAACCACACACTCATCCAAGGAAAAAAAAAAAAAAAAAAAAAAAAAAAAATTGCCTACTTCCAGATTGATCGACAAGAAAAAAGATATTGAATTGAGTGTGTGAGCAAGTAAACGATCGGTTGTAGACTGAACAAAAGTAAATATAAGCTATACAGATAGATCTCCGCAAGAAGAGAAAACGACAAAACTGGTTTTGATGACCTGAAGGGCAATGGAGGAAGTAAAAATAAAATTAAATATAGGAGTAGGGGTAGTTGGTTTAGTTGAGGAAAATATCCAAACTGGCTTCTGAACGATTGAGATCAAACAAAGAGTATCTGCATGTCAATTCAAGGGCTTGACATGGCCAGTCAGATCAAACGAACAGCTCAAAGGCAATCGATTTAGCTTTAGAAACGCGTATGTAAGCCGCGCTCGGATGATATAGACAAATTCTTCTGTAATACCAACGACCAAGCCGACTTTTTTTCCCACTCTTTTTTTTTTTTTTTTTTTTTTTTTGCGCTCAACCACTAAAGAATTAAATAACTCTACTGTGAATAAGATCAAATATAGAGAAAGCTAAAGAAAGAGAAAAACAGATGTTGAGGACAATAAGCTTGATGAGATTATGATATGTTCTCCATCGCGTCTCTAGTACATTGGACAATACGCGTCGATGCAAGATAGGAAGACAACGGAGAAGGAGCAGAGAAGAGAGCTTGGAAGGCAGGAGGTAGGGGAGGAGTAAGAGGGAGAGAAAAAAGGAGCTCATGTTTGAAGAATAAAGACAGGCTTACAGCTGTGAGTCGAGTGTGCGATGTACTAGCTGTACGAACGAAGGCTTACAAGGGGTGAAGATAAAACAATCTGGGGAAAGTCACGATCAAGTCTGGTATTGTATTCAAATGAGTAGAGAAGGAAAAACGAGCGACAATAACAGAGAGAAGGAAAGGAAGAAAAAGCAGGTTCAAGAGAAAACGTACTATAAACGACAATTTTAACGATGAAGCTGAGTGACTTAATATTGGAAGAACAGTAAGGAGAGAGATGTGCGAGTGAGGAAGGACACACAGGAGAACGAAGAAGGATGTAAAGGAGGAAGGAGAAGAGGGGTGAATGAAGTAGTTCGTCGAATGGAACAGAGGGAATATGAAGATGAAAAGATGTGAGAAGAAAAGAGAGAAGGGAAAAAAAAAAAAAAAAAAAAAAAAAAAAAAAAAACAGGAGACAGACGGTGCGAGCACCCTGTAGAGGCCCATTGAATGGAGTATGAGTGAGGGAAAAGTAAAAGGAGAATATCGCATCGAGTAATCACAGAAGAAACATCTCGGTCCATTTTTCTGCTATCCTGTTTACTGAACAAACCGAGTTGAAAAATACAATCCAAAGGTGGAACATTCAAAACAAAGAGGATTACTCGTATTTACTCCACTATAAAAAAAAAAAAAAAAAAAAAAAAGAGAGATGCTTCCTATTCCAAACCTAGAGGGAAAAAAAAGGGTGAACACGACGAATGTGCAATATTTGGGATAAATGTTTTTGGTTACAACGGTTATAAGAGAAGTATAAATTCAAATAGAGAACAAGCTGTGGATCTCTGTGAAATAACGCATTTCCTATTTGACCGGCAATAGGAGAGAGAACTGGACAAATGAACGCAAACTTGAACGTTTACGATCCGTGCTGGGGCCAGAAGGAAAATGACTTGATACTTTTTCTATTCAGGAGTTTGGCTCGCGGGATGAGCGGGACAGAGGGCAGAGAGTGAATAGACCATTCACCCCCCCTATTGTCGCGTCTTTTTAGAATACAGACGTATCCAAACGACTAAAGAAAAAAGAAAAATACATACGCAAAAGAAGTTTTAAATTCAAGCAAAAAGTCCACCTAATTGGTCAAAGAATGTGTGGTAAAAGGAGCCAAGTAAGGGAGGAAGGAAAAAATATAGATTTAGCAGACTAGGAATAACATTTGGAAATGAAAGGCGAAGGGAGGAAAAAAAAGTGATGGATCAGTGCGGAACCACGACATATGCCACTGTCTTCCACTATCAAGGATTCTTTTGCCTTTGGAATGCGGTCATCCCATGCTGTGGATTACAACAATACCCGTCCAAATGTTTATAAGGAAAAAAAAAAAAAAAAAAAAAAATGATGTGGTTAGACTAGGAATAGCCGGTCGGAGGGAAAAAAAAAAAAAAAATAGCATTTGTGTACATGTACAAACGCGTTATGTGAATGATTTCCATCGAGATCTTGGAGAGAAACAAATAAGCAGGGGAAAAGAGAGGACCAGGGCGTGGGCATGTGCACGAGCACACAAGCATGGGAGGAACAGAAAAAAAAAACAGGGGGAGGGCAAAGAAGGAGAGGAACACAAAGAACATTAGAGATTCGATTGTGTTGCCAATCAGTCGCGCGGCGGGAGCTAATTTTGTCGCGTTACATTTTTGATCTCAAGCACCCATACTAAGTAGAAGCAACTGTTGTTGAGAACTAACTGCTATCATCAAGTATTATTGTTACAACGTTGCTCTCTGTCACTGTGTCACTAAAAGTAACGTTCGAAGTGTGTTCTACATTTTTGAATGAATATGCAAAGTATACTAACTTGAAGTGGATAGAAAAAGGAATGAGAAAAAGAAAAAAGACTGACAGAAGGATATAAACAGATCGAAGGCAGTAGCAGCAATGATAACAACAAAACAACAACAACAACAACAACAACAAACTCAGCGTTCCAGGCTGACAAGCGATATTCATTTTCCAGGCAGACATTTTAGGCAAAAAGGGGTGGTTTTTATGATCAGGGGAATGTTGATGAGGATTTTAGGATTCAAACATTTGTTCCAATAGCAAAAAGGGAGTTGCTCCACTTGTTGTTGCTGCAGTTTGCTGTTTATCAACAACTGACCATGTCTGTGGATCATATGTTGAAAACTAAGTTGCAGAAGGAGGCTTGATCCCAAGTGGAGGAAGTTTAAAAAAAGACTTTGCGCTCTTATTTCATTTCGTACTTTTTCCTTCTGCGATCTCTGAGCTCGGAACATTAACGAGTTGGTAACTTGATGCGAGTAAAAAAAAAAAAAAAAAAAAAAAAAAGAGATGTCTGACACACTGATGCAATTAATGATTCAGAATTAACAATCAGAACGTTGTTTACATTGTGTTAGTCTTGTGTTAGTGGCTACATGTCTGTTCATGTGCACGGAATAGAGCTCAAAGGTACTCTCTATTCAGTCTCTTTTCATGCAGTCGTTGTGCGTGCAGCATAAATAAAGAAGAAATGGATGTTTCGTAAGTGCTGACGGAGACATAGTACCAGGGGTTCTTACAAAAAACCCTTCGACATCAATGGGTAATACAAGGGAAGTGAAGGTGGAGGCGGAGGTGGAGGGAAAAAGGGGAGATGGTGCAAGCTGCAGGTGACAGGTTTACCGCCTGCAGGATGCAGGATGCACAATGTGCAGGTGCAGATTTTAAACGAAAAAAGGGTACAGTACACAGGGGTGGTGTAACCACACATCTCTTTCCTGCGAAATGGTTTTTTTTTTTTTTTTTTGGGGCAAGTGATATCTGAATGAAAGACATGTCCATTTTCAAAGAATAGAGAAAATAAAACTCATCCATCGATTTGGAATTGGTCCTTAGAGATGTGAAATAAAGCCTCCTATCCATCCAACTAATCACAATGGCTCTTTTTTCAATTTACGGTATGTCTAATAAGCCAAAATTTGGACGCATAGTCCTTTTCTCCTGACAAGGTGCCTGCATGTCATCTCCTTTTCTATGTTCCAGCTACTTTTTCATGTTGGGACATCATTTGTGGAGGAATAAAAAATGGAGTACTTTTTTTGTGCAGGATTATCTAACATGGTCATTAGTGAGCATTGAGAGTCTGTGCTGATTTTTTTTTCTTTTTATTTTATTTACGCTGATGGAGATGTGAATCATAACAATGCAAGAATGTGTGTGAATGCTTTGAATATCATTATGGTGAAAACTGTACAAACAAAAAAATAAACAAACAAAAAAAATTATTTACAATAGTTTAAAGGAGAATGCAAAATTTCGTGAGATAAAGAACGTCAAAAAAGATTGGAAACATGAAAATCCTTTAGAATCCTGATTGAGCCATGAATGCCTTAAGCTTTTGTTGCTTGGCGGAGGTGCTATGAAGGATCTTCCTTGCAATATCCACCTCATTTGCAACCTTGGTTGGTAGAGTAGGTACTGGCGGTATCGTCTCCTCCTTGTTTTTCTTGGATTTGCCAATGCTTAAGAGTCCTATACTCTGTTTGCGGCCTTTAGGTCCTGAAGATGGTGGAGAATGGGCCATAGAGAGGCCTTGGTGCTCCAGAATACGCTCTGCCATCTGGATACGCTTGTTTTCGCCTCGATCTCCAGTCCACTCCATCAAAATTGCTCGGCACAAATCTTGAGCTGCCTTCGAGGGTCGACTCTCACTCAAGGGTGCCTCCACTTGGTTTAGAGCGTAAGCTATGCTGCGTGGCTCTGAGCAGGTGATATCTGTGAGGAGGAATAGCTTAAGTAAGTCGACACGCAGATATCTTGCGGCCATACCAAGAGCATTTCCATCTTGGTGAGTCTCCATGCTCAGATTGGCTTCACCACGCTCGCGAAGAAGAGTGTAGAGTTCTGATGCTGCAACTGAGGGTCTGGCACTCAAATGTGGGTTCTTCAAGAACTTGTGGAATGGAGTAATGCCGCGGTTATCCGGGTCATTGACACTCAGCTTACATTCCTGAATCAAGAAAGCGCAGACTTCGAGCGCCAGGTCATAGTCAGTTGCAAATTCGAGCAAAATATGAAGTGCTGTTTGTTGCGTGATTGTGGTCACCAACTGCATAATCGCACCGTGATTTTGTAGCACCTTCAAGATTGCCATCAAGTTTTCGGGCTGATAAAAGCATGCAACATGGATAGGAGCAACCTCAGACAACATGGAGTACGCTGGTAATGAGATGACTGCATTTGGATTGGCGCCATTGAGAATATACCATTCTGTCAGATCAACATTGCCCTCTTGACATGCTTCCCAGATGGTTTGAGCACTACGTCTCTTAGGAAGGACTTCGTACTTAGGGATCTCGACTGAGCTTGACGATGACACATTAGAGACACGTCTAGAGTCGCGGGTAGGGATCGTAGGACCAGATGATCCTGATGAACTGCCACTGCTAATGGACATGGAGCGCTTGGATGGCCCTGGAGAGGACGCTGAAGAGGCTGCAGACACGGCAGACATCTTTCTTCTCTGAGATATCGGTGGGATGGGAGGGAGTGTTGGCTGTGGCGATGATGAGAGAGGGAATTCTGACTCACGGGGCGACAGGAGTTCGTAGGATCGCAACAGAGGGCTAGGGAGGTCCCTGTCATTGTCAATAGAATATGATCTAAATGACTTGACAGATCTGGAGGTACTTGATCCATGGGAGTCGCGGGATGATGTCTTAGCGGAATATGCAGGCCTTTTGGGTTGCTCTTCTGTTTGATGGGGAATAAAAATACGATGTTGGTTAGTGACCATACTTTTTTTTTTTTATCGTGATTGCAAGGTCATATTACAAATCTCCACACACCAAGACTAAGGTCCTCGACCATTCGGGTTAAGGCACCAGAAGGTTGCTTCAAAAGGACGCCAAGAGTCTGGATAATCCAGTCAATTGAAGGGCGCTCCAGAGGGTTGGAGTTCCAGCATCGGGTATAAAGGTCTTCAAAGATGGGGTCGGTACCCTCTACAGGACGCTCCCGACGACCCGCCATGATGCTCTGAGCCAAGTTCATCAAAGAGCCGTCCTCGACACTGCAAGCAGCAATCTGGTTCTCAAACGGAGGGCGTCCGCTTGTAATCTCCCAAAAGACCATGCCGAGTGAATAAATATCACACTCGATAGAGTAACGTGTTCCGTTCTTTGTAAGACGTTCTGGCGCAATGTATCCCATGCGAGCTGGGTGTTCCCGTGAAGAGATCACCTCTGCATCTCGAGTCGATCCAAAATCCGAGAGAACTGCGGATCCGTTGGTGTCGATTAGGATACTTGCAGAGTGCAGATGGCGATGACGGTAGCCTTTGTAATGAAGATAGCGCAAGCCAAGGGCAATGTCCATCGCAAGGTTGTACCGGTCGGTCCAGGTCAAGTGTGGATGAAAGTTGACGAGATATGAATGTAGGCTACCGTGCTCGTTGTGCTCTACTATGAGATATGGGATGGATGTGGATGGATCGACGGTGAATCCGTGCAAACGCAAAATCTGTGAACAGCTATTTCCGAGCTTGTAGAGCAAACGGACCTCCCTCTCGATCGTGGGCAGATCACCAAAGGGTTCTCTGATCTCGATATCGCGGTCCTTCCATCGCCCTGTGTGGATGTTGCCGAAGCGGCCGGGGATATATGCGTCATAGATGATACTATGGATTTCCTCAAAAGCAATATATGGCGCAGACTGCTGCAGGATCTGCAGGATATTCTGCTCGACCGGAATAACTGGTACGGTCATTGATATGTACTATCTTTGAGGTAAGAGTTAAATACTGCTATCAAGTAAAAGGAGAAAAAAAAAAAAAAAGGCACACATGAGAACCTTCTATCGATCATCCAGTCGTATAAGGTTATGAGAGAGGGGAAAAAAGATGATTCATCCTATTGGTTATCTCGATAGACGACCATTGATCATCATCCTTTCCTTCACTACTAAACGTTTAGAGGAAAAAAAAAAAATCTGGATCTCCAAAGGTGATTTCATTGGTACCACTGCGATGTTTAATAAAGTTCCCATCAATAGTAAGTGTAGTGACTTTCTATAACTGCATATCCAATTGTACTTTCTCTCGATGGAACCTGCTTTCACACACAAAAAGAACAGAATAGATAGCAGGATGGGAAACGCTAGAAATGTTGATTGTTTGTTGTACAATTCAGTGTAATTAATTAAGGAAAAAATATTATCTAGGCGCCCTATCATGAATCGTGGAGAAAGCTCTCCCTCACACGCCATGAAATACACACTTAATATTGAGCACAAGCGAGACAAGCCAACGAAACATTAAACGCTACATTGCAGATCACTTGAAAGTTTTGCACTTTTATACTATGCCTATCAGCAATGCCTCAGCAAGATAGACGATTGTGTTCCAAGATAATCTATTAATTTTGAATCTGTGTATCTGTGCTGGATTTATGGTACTGAATCGATACGGAGTACTGATCCCGCACGTGGCCAGATGAAAAAGTGCACAAAGATTTGTGTGTATTTTTTAAGGCGTCCAGAGTAGATAGACCATCCAACAGTACGCTCGGACGAATATATTAAAGGCACCGTGAATAGTGAAATTACTTACAATTAAAATGTGAGTAAGATTTTTTTTTCCCTCCTTTTCGTTAACAGGCTCTTTCTAATAGTTGTAATGGCAAGTTGGAATAATGAAGTTGACGAAGATGTTGAGGATAGAGCTGGAGTTAAGTCTAGAGGTTCGTGAGTTAATAAAGAGAGAGTGATGCTGGCTAGGTTGGTAGGGGATATTTAAATGAGTGGGATAGTTAGATGAAGATCAAAGTGTAGGTCGTCAATGAAGGATAAGGATGATGGCAATTAAATGCGGGGGAGAGAGAAAGAATGGTGGAGAGCGTAAAAGAAATAAGACGACAAGGATGTCGAGAAATGAAAGAGCAAAAGAAAAAAGGGAAAGGAAAAAGTGGAGGAAAAGGAGAGTAAAAAAAAAAAAAAAAAAAAAAAGGGTTTGCCAAGTCAAAGCCCGGTGATTATATAGGATATTAAATAAAGGGCTTTAGTTGGCTGGCCAAACTATGGTCTGGGTACTTTTTTTCAGAACAATGAATCGAGTGAACGGGCGATTGAATAAAGATCAATTGAAAAGCATGATTGCAAACAAAGTTTTATTTAGTTGAAATAAATCGCAACAAGACTACTCAACTATTCAACACACAGACAAATGAACCATTTTACTCAGGATAACAGGTAAAAGAAAAAAAATTATGTGAGCAGTAAGAAAGTAAGAGAGCACCAGGCAAAATAAAATAATAATTATAATTCAGTCAGTAGATGGATTCTCAACCATTAAATTAAGCCCGTCCGGAGTTCGAGTACAATATTCATTCCGTCCTATTTACTTTGTGAGGATGTCTTCGGCAGAACAATATATATTTTACATATTTACCTGCAATAAATTAACTCCTTATCTATTAGTTCCTGCAAGGGAAATGAAATTGGAGGGAAAAAAAGGCCAAAAAATAAAAAAATAAAAAAAAAAAGACTTTTTCCTCTGATGACATCTGCGAATAGCCGCCAGAAATGGAATTGACTAGGTTCCTGCCTTGGCGCGTCGCAATACTATTTTTTTTTTTTTTTTTTTTTTTTTTGTTGATGGTTCAAAACCAAATGTGGATGTAATCGCCCGAAGTGTCATCAAAAGTGAGCGGATGAAGAGTAAAAATAGGGGGACGGCCTTTCTTTTTTTATCTTTTCAGCGACATTGCTGAAGTAAAGGACTTTAGGCCGTTGGTCGCGGTGTTTGTCTGCTTACAAAACGTTCCTGATGACCCCTTATTTAAGCTATTGTTTATATTCCATATAACCCAATACCCAATTGCTCATTGGGTTGCTACTACCCCCATCAGAAATGGCGGGATAATAATAAAGCAAGATCGGCGACAAAAATAACGCTCAGGCGAGCCAAACGTGTCAGATAACTGGACCAACACGACCAGGACAAAGGAATGACTTTGAGGGGAAGGGAGACAAAGAATAGGAATAGGAATGAGGAACTGTTGGGTCTTACCAGAATTGAGATCTTACTTAATACCTAGATACTGACTTAATAAGATGATGGCTAATGATAGGAAAAAAAAAAAAAAAAAAAAAAAAAGTACAGTTCTGGTAAGAATCTGGGCCTTAGATGAAGAGGGAGAGAGTATGCATAGTGTGCTGATGTTGAAAAAAAAATAATAATAATAATAATCGCTTGGTACTCTCTTGTAAAATATCCCACGGCGTTAAAAAAAAAAAAAAAAGACAGATCAACGCGATTGATATCAGATCGATTCTATCTCTACTGGCTTTCTTTGGCTACGCTTTTTGACTCTGTTTGCATTGCCATGATTGAGGTTGCCTAGAACAAAAGTAGTCTTCGAGGTCATCGGTACGTTCTCATAACCCTAACATCAAGAGGTAAAACGGCTTTTGTTCGATGCAATCTGGCCAATTCATTTTAAAAAAGATACTCCTCTGTTAGTACACCGAGGATCGAGATTAAAAATAAAAAATGCAGCCTTTCATCATCTTAGTTGATAGCAGTACCCAATGGTCCCTGATGGGAGTATCGCACTGAATGATATCATCTATACAAGTTCCTTATTGGCTCCGCTTTCCCCATCCTCTGAAAGCATTGTCCATAAGGAAAGATGTCATAGCTCTTTGATTCTCCTACCGGCTGGCGGCAGTAGAGCAGGAACCTGTTTTTTTCCAGTACTAGAGCACCGTTGAAAGAGGAATAGAAAGCAATCAAGGTTCTACCATTAGTGCTATTACCTGCACTCAATCTTAAAAGTAGGCAGATCAAAAGATTAACAAGATTTTTTAAAAAAGGTAGATTGATGGGCAGATATGATATTCAATATAAATATATAATTTATAATAAAATGAATAGTTTTTTCTTTTTTCATGAATGCGCCTTCTCTCTTTCAGGGCTCAATATGGGCTTTTAATCCCATTGTCAGTGTCACACAATGAAATGAAATTAGAATTTAATATAACTCCATTGCCGAAGGTGAATGGATAAGAGAACCCAAAAAAGACAAGGAATCTTTCTATTTTGTCGGTCAGATCACGGATACGAGAATAACATGGATAATGCAAAAAGCATGAGCTTTTGTTGTGCATATTGTTCTCTTTAGGTGTTGTTGTTATTATTTATTTATTTACATCCAGATTTAGATGAACTATGTAAATGAGATATAGAAATGATAGATATTTCTCTCGTCCGACAGTCAACATGTCCTGACATATCACGAGAATACATGTCTCCAGCATTAGGCCCTAATTCCTTCTTTGTGCCCAATAATTAGAGATGTAGCGTAGATCATTGGGTAGAAAGACATAAAAAAGGACGGTAAGGTGCGCAAATAGTAAATAACATCACCAATGAGGTCGTTAGCCAGCGAGAATCAGAACCGTGCGCTGCTCATTGGAGTTTACAGAGGCTTACTGCGAAGGAAAAGGGCGCACTAACCCTATTCTTACATTAGGTTGGGCAATGAAGTGCAGAAAAAGATGGTCAATAAACCTTTCTTCTTCTTTTCATTTGACGTAAAGAATTACAGGAAATCCATTCTCTTTTCATAGATGAGAAGAGACACAATGAGAGATGGCTGCCCACCACATTAAACACATGTCAAAGCCAATTGAAATTTCATCCAACTAAACCATGGGAAAGAACTTTAATCTTCTCAATGCTGTAGACTAAAAAAAAAAAAAAAAAAAAAAAAAAAAAAAGCACCCATGCTCAATTTTACAGAAAATAGATGTTATTTATTCATGATTCAGTACCAAGAGGGTAAAAGAATGTCCATTTTGAAAAACGAGCTACTGCATGCCCTAGCCCGTAACGGAGCTTGAGCAAAGCACGTCATTGGACAAAAAAAAAAAAAAGGCACATTCGGATTCTTCTGGTGTCAGATAGACCATGGCCCGAGATTATTGCGAGTATAGATATCCATTCCTCTCAATCTGCTCACTTGTCCCCCGCTCGCTTTTGTGTGTGTTTTTTTGCACATGTTATGTGGGATAGATCAGTCCTACAAATATAGGATAGCACATACAAATATTGTTTATTTATTTATATATTTATTTTCTTGCTATAAATTCTCATTTCCTTACAAAACTCCATCATATGCATGTTGTTCTTGCCTCCATTGATATATATATATATAAATATGTGAACGCCAAGCGCCCTACTTGGATTGAATATTGAAACCAGGGCTCACATTGAAGCAGGAGAAAAAAGTCAAAGTCATTTCGCGTACGGGCGAAGGAGCGAGCTATTTTTCAGTATGCAGTATAAAATCAACAGACGCGTTTTTTTTTTTTTTTTTTTTTTTTCGCCCACCTTCCAAAACGTGTGTGGTACATTTCTGTACTCACGTCTCACCAGAACAAAAAGAAAATAAATACAACAGCCCAATAATATACACAACGTTGAATAAAAAAAGATCAGAAAAAGTTTACTGTTGTCAGTGTTTGATATCGCATGCGTTGTTAGCATATGAAAAAAAAAAAGTTTATTTTTTTTTTAAAGCTTCAAAGTGAAGGGCTTGGCTTCCAAATTGACAGCTCTCTGATACAACACAGAAAGGCTTTTCTCATGCCTTTCATGTGTAATCAGTTATGCATGTTTGAATATGTTTTTCTTCATAAACAATGAACATCAAGACATTTTTAAGAGCAGCAAGTGGAGCGTGCAGAAGAAATAGAGCCAACTTTCTCCTGCATGTGGAGGGAGAGGGAAAGGTGAGATTGTCATAGAGATAGCCAAAAAAAGATCAATGGGGTTTGTTGTTTAGTAACATCTGCTTTTTCATTTTTCAGAATAACCCAATCGCTTCCGACTCCATGTCTTCTTTAGGCGGTGCTGTTTCTCCTGCATGGGTCTAGAGAGCACCATTGTTGCTTCCTCTCCACGCAAATATTTCTTTAAAACATTGTTTGCTATACCCCACATGTACATGCGCATACACACATACGCATTTTGCTCTCTCCACATCCCATCAGAAGATAGGAATGTAATTCCGAGAAAGCCTCGGACCTTCTTTTTGTTGGGTTGTGTAAGGTAAACCATACCGCTTTATGAATATCAATAACTATGAATCAGTTCCTTCTTTTCTCCTTCACGCGCGTGGCTTTCATCCAAAACAAGATGCATTGTCTCTTTTTTTTAGCTTGTCTGTGCTCCGATATTAACTCAATTCTGTTTAGTGTTAATGGTATATGTGTATTTGAATGTCTATGATTGTATGCAATGTATAATGTACACTTTTTTTTTTTTTTTTTTTTTTTTTTAGCTCTCAACACCTGAACTAGAACTCAATCCTCCAATTTGACTTGTCTATTGCTCCTGCTGCTAAAACAAATTACTATTCTTATCGTTGTCGTTGTACGATGGTGTACCTGCTTCACTTCTACTCCCTAGCATCACGCATTAGCATTCTTGGCACGTGCAACCATAGCCATCGTCCAAGGATCATCCGCCATCAGGAGCGAGTTATTGTTGGTGATGCTGTTCGACCGACTGGAATCACTCACTGGTGTAGAATTCTCAATCGCTCTCAAAGAAGATGGAGATGGAGAGTGGGAATGAGAGTGATGAATCCCTAGTCCTACTCCTAGTCCACCTCCTCCAGAATAGTCCAAACTTGTCTTGCCTCTTGGGAAGTATGAATGACCATGGCTATAGTTGTTCTGAGAAGGCGAGGAAGAAAACAAGGGGTGCTGCTGCTGTTGGGACGTTGGTGAGTTGCGTCCATGGCTATCCTCCCCTCCAAAGCCATTATTAGCACTACCACCACCATAGTAACTGAATCCAGCACCGACCAGCTGTGGTGAAGGTGATCGAGGCACGGGTGTAGAAACATTAACGTTGACAGATTCCTGAGACTTAGATACGTCATTAACGTTGGTGTCAATACTAGAGCTGTTGTTATTACTGTTGATATCGCCTGCTATTGGTGTTGCTCGCTTAAAATAATAAGCCGAGGCTAAATTATCAACCGAGCGTGGCTGGCTCCGCTGATGATTAGCTGTTGCCCTTAAAGCTGCCGTTCGGTCTCGCAAGCTATTATTGCTGTCTCTATCTCTGCCTCTGTCCATGGAGTTGCTACGGTGGTCTTGCAAAGATACTGGCGTACTTGTTCGTGGTTTGAAATCTCCTGTTTTTGACGAAGATGTCATGATAGGGGGAGAAAGCGGTGATGGAGACGATGGCGATGATTCTTTATAGTTGGTGTTGCTGTACTCATCGTTTGGGGCTGTGGGAGCAAACGCTGGAGATACTGAGCCAAGGGATGATGACAACGAGCTTCGGGTCCCACCAGACGATGGCAAACTGGATTCGTTGCCACTATCTGCACCATTGCCAGTAATAGCCAATGGTGTGCTAAATCCAAGCCCTGTCGCTGAGCATGATCCAGACAATGGCCCTGGGCGATGTTCGTTTGCGAGTTTAGTATCAACATACATCACATTGCCATTGCTAGCGTCAGGCCTACTGGATAAGAGCGCTGCTGTGATCGCTGAGGCCGTGCCCTGGAAAGATTTGGACCGGTTCCAGCTCTGACGAGGAGGCGGGGACAATGATGTTTGTGGTGACACCTCTGGAATGCTGGGCTTGCGTACTGCTAAAGGTGCAGAGGTATTAACTGTAGCAGTGGCAAAAGCTGCATTGGCGGCTACTGTCGCTACAGGAACAGGGATTTGGGTAACGTCGATGCTAGGCCGCGATGGTGCTGTATCCGACTTGGAGCGGTTGCCTCTAGCTTTAGCCTTGGAGCTCAGCCTCCTGGAGTTAGATGAGGACCTCGAGAGCAACGAACCCAACGTTGAAGATGAGGTTTGATGCGTTGGAGTTGTTGTAGGGCTGCTGATAGGACTCATCGTTGTTGCGCTAGCAGATCCTGAGTAGGAGCTACTGGGGGCCATTGCAATCGCATTGGCAGGGATTATCAACCCAGGGGACGACAATAGACCTGAATCTTTCTTGGAGGATTTTTTGGAGCTCGTAGAACTCTTGGTCTTGATAGAAGGGGACCTGATAGAGTTGTGATAAAGATCCATGGGATCTTCGAGTGGACTAGCCATGGTCAATAGTGAATCTGAGGCCAATGGGCTGCTAGGAGAAGAAGTCTTGGAGAGGAAGCCCGAGTCAATGGTATTTATGGAACGAGGGTGGCTACTACTATTACTGCTGCTGTTACTCGAAATGCCAGCAGAAACCTGGTTGGGCCTTTTGAACTCGGCCAAGCTATAATAAGGATCAGGGTAATAATATTGCAATCCCTTATCTTCATCTTCCTCTTCCAAGTTGCCCAATGTAGTCTCAAGGGCCAGCGCCTCAACAGTAGCAGGAATAGTGGATCCGCCATGAGGCGATTTCAAGTCACCACCGTCGACTATCTTGTAATCATTGTCCTGCTCATTGAAATCTTGGCTAGGCCTGCTACGGTCCCCACTATTGCTCTTATGAACCCCTCCTGAAAGTTTGGAGAACACTCCCCGTCGAGGAACTTCCTTGGGTTTGTTGCCCTTTGAGTAAACCAGAGCATTATCGAGACCTGAAATGAGATGACTGTTTCGTCTGCTACTTTTAGTCTCCTCCATCGAAGACTCCAACTCGAATTTCTTGGGGGGCCCTGTACGGTCCGTATCATTCTTGTTACGGCTTACAAGCCATTTTTTTCGGAAGCCTGACATAGATTTCTCAGCTGTATTGCTATTTGTGGCTGTAGTAGCTGTGATAATAGAGCGGTAGTTGCTGGGTGAACTCTGGTTCCGAACACTGTCGCTGTTATTGTAGTCAAAGGCGGAAGACGTCGATGATGATGGACTTGTTGATAATCTTGTCCAATGCATAGGACCGTCTGAGTGGGCAGAGAGTGGCTGTTCCCGGTGATCAGTCACAGGAGGTTCACTCCATTCATCGATTTTATCTGCAACAATGCCACCAACTGCGTAATACTGTCGATTTGATGGTAGGTCATCATGCGATGTACGCACGCTGCCACTATGGTTAATGAGCACATCGAGCCGCCTACTATTGCCAGGATTACGCTTGCTGTTATTATCGGTACTTTCGTACATATCAAATGCAGATGAGGAAGGGCTATAGTCATCCATGTCCTGCATGGCCAAGACAACTGGAAGTAATGCGGAGCGGTATTCTGCAAGCTGTTTCTGCAGACCTGTCAGCTCTTGCGGCTGGTTCTGTCTCTGCTGCCTTTGATGCTTTTGTTGCTGCCTGCGACTATTACTTCCAGACCGGAACCCACCACTTGCGCTATAGGTATCTAACAGATCACCATAGGAGTCGACTTCTACAGCTGTGTTCGCAATCGTACTCGGCCCTTCAGAGTACTGTCCAAGTGATACAGTCGCATTTGAAGCCGTAGTACTCGTATCCAGGGATGGTGGGCATAGCTCTAAAGGGCTTGAAAGACTGTTCTCTATCCCCTCCTGTGATGTCTTTCGGATATGACCCCATCCACCGACCTCCCACCCCGTTGTTCCAGTGATAATTTCTGCTGTATCTTCGTACTTTTCCCTGTTACTGCTACTGGCAACGCCATCCTTCGATGGAACCGCTTCATCTATTTTGTGCCGATATTTAAGGTAATAATAGTAAAAAATAAAAAATAAAGGTCAGAAATATTCAATAAAGTATATAAAGCTTGCATGAATATGTATATCAAAAGGAAACTAAAGTCCCTAGGATATTCCCATACCAGGAATGGCACACTTCTCCTCAGGAACACTGCCGCTATCACTACCAGCAGCATCGGCATCCGATAATGAATTATTCATGAATCGACTCATTTTCCAAGAATTATTCATCTGAGATGCGCTGGCTGACGTCAACGCAGGTTCCGGCTTCTGAAGTGGTTCCATGCTAGATGGCCGAAGGCCTGCCAAGGGATCCTTGTTAGGGCTGTTGTTGCTGAAATGGGATGATGAGGCTTGATTGATCGCTGTCGCCTCATCTGATCCCCTAGCTCCCGCCGAGGCCCTTCCCATGTTGCTGTAGTATTGATCAAATGAGTCTGACCGAGCATGCCCGTGTTGATGACCATCCTCTTGATTAAAATCTTGATTGAATACTCTGTTGCTCTCCATTGACGCGCCTCGATTTCGGGATTGAAAGAGGCGCAAGCGACTGTAGGCGTTACTGATGCTGGTGTGATGGTTTCCATGATTATTACTGTTGTGGCTGTTGGTGTAGTAGTTGTTATGGCTACTGCCATCATCGGTGAAGCTGTGACATGGATTCACTTGGACAGAGCCATCGACGGAATCTCTTGGAAGACTGCATTGGTCGCCTTTATCTCCACTAGAGCGGCCACCAAGGCGAGATCCAATAGGAGAATAAGGCGATGATGTAGTGCCATTTCGATTTTCACTATGTATGAAAGAGTCCTGACCACCACCAAAACCGCCACCAAAATCACCAGTAGCAACGCATCCGGCGCTGCCATTCCTCTTGCGAGACGACGACCCACCATACCTGCTTCCTCCATAGCGACTTCCACCACCCACGCTGTTACCTTTGACCAATCGGTTGAAACGTTTTCGATAGAACCGAATCAAAAATGCCGGTGCAGGCAGAAAGAAGATAGGATTGGTAGTCGCTCGTATACACAAGTCGAGTGCTTGAGCCGAAGGTTCAAAAATGTCCTCGATTTTGTTGCAAAAGTAGATGTTCAGGATAGCATAGGCCTAGACCGCCATAAAAAAGAAGAACATAATGTGGTTAAGATCTCATTTTTAAATGCAGGGGGAATGGCGATTGAGGAAAAGCGCGCCAATGTTTAAAAAATGAGTGATGTTTCTTTAAGCTTACCACAGTAAGGATCATTAAGCAGCCCAAGTACCAAACGCCGACGGCCATCATATCGCTGTCGATGGGCCTGCCGACAGAGCTCTGGCGATGATGGCGAACCAAGGGGATAAAGAGAAAGGAGGAGACCCAACCCAAGGTGAAGAGCATTAGCATCTGATGGGTCAAGTATACCCATGTTACGGGACGGTGAAATACTGACTTTAACGCATGAGGTAGGTATTCATAATTAGGCACCCCAGTGATATTGTAGTCAAGGGGAAATAGCGGTGTATTGCATTTCTGGGCCCTGTTTATATGTCTTTCTAGAGTGTCATTGCCCATGATATTGGCGTTTAATATTACGTCCACTACATCTTGGATCTCACTTGGGGAGATGTGATGATAAATGACCTTTTGATACAAATAGCTCACAATGTTGCCAGAGGCTACGAGCGCATAGATAATGATCCAGGCCATCGCCAGCCGCCAAAAGATATTTTTCTTCCCCGCCATCGGGTAAAATCCATTTCCGACGGAGACAATTGCATACGTTAGTGCCACCATCCCTATGCTTTCAGCTGCAAAGTTCCAGAGCCAGAATGCATTGGACGGGACCTTGCGGTTGACATTGAAGGCCCCCATGATTGCAATCGAAAATGCAAGGAACGTACTAAAGCAGGCATATAGGCGCAGTCGAGTCCGCGCACGATAACATATTATGATTGCCGTGATCAAGAGCAAACCAATGTATCCCAATGAGACATAGTAACTTGTAGCTGCTGGGAGAAGATTCTCTCCCATTCCCATGCGTGTGCCTTTCCGAATAGATGTAGTATCGTTAGTGCACAACGACGCAGGGTATGCTTCAGCTGTTTGTGGTGGCGGCATGTTGTATTATAAGTACGAGAGGTTGAAGTATATGTACAAGTGCGGAATTAATGAAACCAAGGATTATAAAAGATAAATGAAGAAAGGCGCGTGCACAATCGTTCTAGAAATGAGAATGAAGAGAAAGAGTGAGTGAGGCTGAGAGAAAGGAGGCTTGATGATCGTCGCTGCTAAGGATGATAGACAATCAAGAATGGTGGAGGGAGTTTAATGCGCGTACACTATCATCAATATCAGTATTTTCTTTCTTGCTGTCAACAATCTCAACAGAAAAGACACCGTGCAGCGGCGAATGTCTGTCAATTAATGTTGAAATCTGATTGGCTGAAACGTCTTTTCAGGAACAATGGCAGATAAAAAAAAAAAAGTAGTGACAGTCAATTGGATGAAAACTCCTCCTCTCCAAAAGATACGAAAGTATGATGATGGAGGATGAGAGGAGGAGGGAAGAGAAGGAAGAGGAGGGGGAAAGCAAGAGAGAAGATGGGAGGGAGTGAATGAGATAGGGATAAGGCTATTCCGCTTTGATGAATAGAAGTGAGCAATCGAAGAATTAGTGTTTATAGGTGGAGAGAGAGAAAGAGTTGTGTGAAGAGAGAGTGGAATTGCGATCAATAAATGAATGAATGAATAAATGAATGAATGAATGGACGAATGAATAAGCGAGTGGATCAATGCCGATGGACGAGTAGATCTGCAAGGCGATGCTGGAGAAAGAGAAGAAAAAAGATAAAAAAGATAACAAGAATTGGTTGGGATAGGAGACACAAAGAGGCACAAAAGACAAAGTATTTGCAACAGACAATGTGTGCCGGGGGGCAATCTGAGTTGAATGGATGGGAACAAGCAATTAACATTAATAGCCATTCAATCATCGTTAATCTATTGCACCCGTATACGCCGTCCATTTTATGAACACTTCTATTGCTCTCATTTCGATGTTTCTGACTTTTCGCTTCAAAAAAGGCCTTGTTAAATTTTTGCCTGTTTTCTCGAAGCAAGTAAAGTGAAAAGGATGGTCGAATGCATAATCGATCTTTTTTTTTTTTTTTTTGCCCCTGCCTGTCGCTGCCGGTTTTTATCGTCCCTCCCTTGTCTGGTCTGCTGGTTAGTAAGTGAGTGGAGGAGATGTTTTGTTTGTTTGTTTGTTTGTGCCATTATTAATTTTATCTGCAATCAATAGACACATCAGCACTTTGGTGCAACAAATGGGGAATAGGGGTTGATGCACCATTCACAAGCACATCAGTTGCTTGTCCAACCCTTCCCAGTTGGCATTTCGCCGAATGCTGACCATAATAGTCAATTTAATCAAAAGTCCTTGAATTTATCATGTCCAATCGTGCCCATTCTTTCATTCTTTATAATCTTTGTGCTCGTTCCCTCGATCTCAAAGGTTAGGAAGGAGTCAGGGGGGAGTTTTCATTGTGATGATTTCTTAGGCTACCAAAGTTACAGCAAATAATGACGGCAGTCCAAAGAAAATTGGGCTGTTGGTACAGATATATTAATTTACACAAAAGAAAAAAGACTTCTCTGCCATTGTCTGTCCAAAAGAGAAGCGGATGTGTAAAAATATGCATTGCCAATAAATCATACTGCAGTGTGCTCTTTTTTTTTTTTTTTTTTTTTTTTTTTTTTTTCGTTACACCATCAACACTATCAGTGAATAAAATTCTTTTCCATAAACAGGTTCCCAAGGCTTATTTTTGCTTTGATGTACATTTACTACACACGTGTAGCGCACATCATGTTTAATACATAAATCTGTCCCAGCATAAACATTAACATTATATCAGCATCAACATCAACATCAACATCAACATCAACATCAACACCAACGTCAGTCTCAATAACAACAACAGTGCAACAGCAACAGCACCAGCAGCAACATCAAAAGAGGAAGCTTTGCCGATAACGATGTATCAGATAAGTGTAGGTCGGCCTGAGCCCAACCATATTTAGCTCTCTTTGAAAATTCTGCATTAAAACTTGCAGCACCACACTTTGATCGTGCGACCATCTGATATAGATCATGAGCAGATTGTTATCTGGTTGGCTTCGATCTGCGAAGGGTGTATAGAGCGACGAATGTATGCATGACACTCATGAAGCTTTTATCAATATTCTAAGGATAATTAATAATACTTCAATGATAAGACTAAATAGCGTTGTGGATAAAAGAAGAAAAAAAAAAAAGCACTTTTTCTTGTTACTCTTTCATATTCTTTCCTCCTTGAATATCCCTAATTCTTTTCATTTATATATATTATTTTCGTCCGCCTCAATTTCCGCCCCACATTCGGAGTTTTTGTTCTTATGGTTCTGTTGTAAACAGAGGAGTGAACGGCATCTCCTTGGAGGGTTGTAACCTAGAATTAATGATGATAAGATAAAAAAAACAAAAAAAAGCCCCCAAAGGAGAGTACCATGCGTGAATAATAAATAAGCAGATGGCGAATCAACATATCATTGGATCGATGGCTCACTCTAATAAATAACATTTGTACCAATTGTCTCCATCGTATTCTGCATTGCCTTCGATCACATGGAATGTGTAAATGTAACGACTCTTGTCGCTACGGTTAGCAGGAGATTTATGAAGGACAGACCCATGGATCAACACCAGCGATCCCGCTTTGCATTCTGCCAGCTCGAATTCTTCATCAGGAATCTCATGCTCCTTTTCACCTCTGAAAGTCACTCCTGTCGAACTAGGATCGCGGACAAATCGGCGGTTGACAGGATACTCTATTGGTCAACACGTTCAATTTTGTTTTCTTTTTTTAGTTAGATCACCCCTTGCTTCAATGAAGGAAAAAAAGATGCTGCCAACGACTTTTTTCTTTTTAAGATGTTATCGTGCCGAGATATTGTTTGGATGCATTCATTACTCTTATGAGAGCCAGGCGCAAATGAGAGAGCGCCATTCTGGGCTGTGCAATCTTCCAACGCGAACCAGAAACCACGAGCAGATAGCGGCTCGGTGTAGAGGAAGGTCGAGTCTTGATGAGGGGGGACTTCGCCACCAATCTTTGGTTGCTTGAAAATCAACATTGACTGCAGAACACGCGGATCCTTAAATTCCAAGTCTTGCGCAAGTGCCTTCATCTGCTTGGACAAAGACAAAGCGCGAAATTTGGGTTCCAACTCATGGAGGGCTGTACAAAAAAAAAAAAAAAAAAAAAAAAAAAAAAAGGTTTTAAGCTAAAAGAAGGGATTTGTACGCCCCTAAAATATCCAGAATAAAAAATCTCACCATGTCCAATCTTGTTGATGGCACGTGCTTTGGGCACGACTAGGTTTCCTTGTCTGTCAAAAGCTTCCTCTTCAAAGAAGTACCGAATCTTGTCGCCCGAATTCAAGAAATAGTCATCGCCAATATGCTTCTTTTCCTATGGATAGAAAGATTGGTGACGTCGAATTTAGCCACCGACGATAACGAACATTACAGGAAGTAGGTCTGTCTGTTTATAACTGGATATTTATATCTATTAGCACAAACCTCCCCTGTGCCAGTCGAGAAGGTGGTCATGGGGTGACCTTCAAGTGAAAAGGTCTCGAGCATCTCTGTTGCTCTGGCACGAAGGTCATCAGCAGTTTCCTTTGTGAAAAAGTTAGGAATAACAAGGTATCTACGAGTGATCCCGTTCGCAAAAACAAAATCGAAGTTGAACCCGATCGGAGGTTTCTTTATTTTAGTACAGGTTAAATACTCCATTCACTTCTTTGTGTGGGTGATATGGATAGTGTCTACAGTAAACTAATGATTGATCACTTTGCTTCGCTTTACTTACCCATCTTCATCAAACTACAAAATCATACGTGATGCATTCAACATATTCAGTTGCAGCGATTGTGTCATAATGGAGGTCAGCAGTTATGCTTTTTTTTTTTCATGTGCGGATACAGACTACGAATCATTAAATGAACGTTGTGCAAGTCCACAAACCTTTTGTTTCTGCTCAGGAGTCAAGAACTGAAGCTGTGTCATGGTGAAGAATGAGTCAGTATATAAAAATAAGAGAGAAGGGAAATGAATGGAGCGAGGCAAATGAATTTGGAAATGAGGACGGTTGACTTTGTTGCTTTTGGAGTTGATGTCCCACGGAGACGTTTTTCCCACATGTGACATGTTGTTAGACCATGTTAGATCAATAAATTGAACTTCCCCACGCCTGTATAAATATATACTTTGCCCCTGTAAAAAATGTAACCTCAGTCTCCGAAATGGCACACAGAATAAATAGCGGAGCCCTGGATGATACATGTGTAATAAAATATATAATATAGAAATGTATTATATATATATTTATCAATCTGTTTTACATGCACTTATATTTCCATGTGCATGTAAACCCAATATGTCTCTTTTTTCTTAATGCAAACAGCCTCGAGAGAAGACAAGACAAATGAAAATGATCCTTGCCTTCCTTGACCTAGACCGATCTTTCAAGGGCTTGTCATCTCAATGTTGAACCGTTAACAAGCAAAATTTATCAGGTAGATATATTGATGCATTGCATGCATTACATGATTATCTGTTTTGTCTCGCATTGAAAGTATAAATTTGAGCATGCGTCCTTTTTTATAGTTCAAGACAGAGTAAGAGTCTACCCGAACTGTACAGAACTAAAACAGAGTCCTCTGGATTACAGATCACTTTGTTACTCTTCTCATTCTCCATCTTGATTTGATTCTTCATTCTATTTGACATCGACATCAAGCCTCCATCATTCTTTTCCTTATTATCGTTTGCTTCTTTTCCCTGGTTAACAATTAACAAAACCAAACGACTAAAATACTCAACTAAACAAACCAACAGGCATTCAGCCATTTATTAACATTAGGCTCAATCTCCCTCCTCTTCCTGAGAAAGAAAAAACACATACACATGCAGAGTGCACATCATTGTCTTTTCTCTTCTCTCTCTTCTCCTCTCTTCTCTTTCTCCGTTTTTACTCTCACGATCTTTATTCTTTTGTCATTTGTTTGTTTGTTTGTTCATTGTCTATTCCTTTATTCCATCCTCATACTTTTCTTCTTTACGCACTCCATTCCTCTTGATTCATTCACATTCATCCATTTTCATTTATTTATTCCATCACCATTGACCGACTTTCAGGAACGCGTCTCTGAGGGCGCGCTTTCTCTCTCCCATTATCGCTGAAATTTGTCAACCTGTCAACTTGTCAATCTGTTTGTCTCTTCTCCCATTCTTTCAGCTCAATTATGCTTAAACACATGCTGAGCGCTATCTTATCCTCCGTTTACGTCTCCATAATCGCTATTCTTTCATGCGTTCAATTCCATCGGTCGCAGACCCCCTTGCGACTCGCTTCAGCAGTGATGGCTGTCATGGGTCTAACAATCGCTGCCATGTCAGTTGTCTATATCGCGGGCAGTGTATCCATTCAAGCTTTCTGGGTTTATCAACTTGTAGTCGAATGTGTGGCATTGACATGGGTCTTATCGACTATCATTCAACTTGGATATGCATTTTATCCTCTGACCAGGCACCAGAAATTGATCTGGCGCACTGCCTTGGGCTCTATCATCATTTATGATCTCGTTGCCGCTGCTGAGCTCATCTACTATTGCTATGGGGTCTGGGATCTACATGCACTTACGACGCCCATGCTCTGGATCTACTGGGTCCGACAGGTGATTAAAGTCCTTGCCTGTGTAGTCACCGTTGCATATCTTTTCGTAAGTGTGTCCATCTTTCACTTAATCTCTTTGTGCTATCTGTCAATCAATATACATGCATTTCTCCGTTGGCTCAGGACTCCTGCAGACACACAGATGCAGACACACAGACACTCAGATACAGGAACGAATACATTTTAGCTTGTGCTATTTCATCTTTTTTATTTTTCAGTCCACAAAAATGTGAATGAGGGATTATGGGCATGGATGTGTGGGCGTGCTTATCTTGCCTGTGCTTATATGTTTATATTACATTGTTGTTATGCGTTGAGGTGTTTCTGTGTGTTTGTTTATGCATTCGTTGTGCAATTGTGTAATTGACAAAAAAAACAGCATTTGGATTTGACTGTCCAGAGACCTGCCCTTATTTTTTAAGGCCGCTTTGTCTCTCCGCCGCTTTGTCACTCTCACTTTTGTGCGTGTATCGAACATCAATCCTTTTTTTTTTTTTTTTTTTTTTTTTTCAAATTCATGCTGCAGTATATCCATGTTATCAAGAGTCAAAATAGGAGGCGAAAACGTTGGGTATTTGTTTTTTGGCGGGGAGAATAAAGTGGGCGCAAATGTATTCCTGACAACTTCCTCCTCTATTGCAATGTTCGCCGTCAGTTTGCGCCTGCACCTGACTAGAGTAGAATTGCTCTAATGCTTATATGGATTTCTTTTTGACTTTTTTTTTATTCTTTAGGTGCCATTGGTTCGACACCACAATAGCAATAGTGTTGCTAATGCCAACATTGCAGATAGTAACACTCTAGCTGTCGGGACATGGTACTTGGCCTCCCTGGGTGCCACATTCTTGGTAGGCTCAAATTTATTTATTATTTACTGTTAAATGGTGTGGGACAATACTGGGATCACTTTCACTTCAGCCCTGATGTTACATCATTGTCAGCATACAGTTCGCCTTGGATGCATGAATTGGATCTATTTTTCCTTTCACTTGGGGGCATACAAGGCAAGATAATAGAAGATGAGCCATAATAATACAACCCAATATGATCACGGGGAGCCCACTTTTTTTTTTTTCCTTTCTCCTATTCGGCTCCTCCCTTATGCTGTGTCCTCACAGCTCGGTGCGAGTGACGCATTAACTCTGTAGGCTATTTACGATCGTCTTCATTCATGCATTCCAAAAAGAATACACTTGCCTCATATCATGATTCCGAACGCAATCTCTGTTTTATTTGAAACATGATTGGGCCACATTCTGTCTCTATTTCTCTCCCACGGCTTCTCTTCCTTCCTTTACCCCTTGAGACACCACGGCATGCGCGGCATGCACGGTGTTACACAGCGCCTCAACCCTGTAAACTGTGTGGTGAGAAAAGTTCTTCACCCAATCCAAGCTCGGTGCGACATCTTAGAAAACTAACCAATATATTATACCTCCCAACTTTTCATCCTATTCTATCTCCTCCCCCGTCGTTTACTCTTTTTTTTTTTTTTTTTTTTTTTTTTGACGCGGTGTCGTTATTTTGTGAGCAATTCAACTAACGCCGATATCCTGTTTCGATGGTGCTTTTACTTTTGTGCTTACTTGAGTAATTAGGCTTATACTATCATGCTCATTTTCTACATGACGCAGGGTGCAGATGTTTTTACTCAACACGCACAGGCTTTAGATCTATGTATCCGCTTGACACCTTGTCCAATCTTCTCACTGCCACCGCCACCGTTCCTTATCAAGTACTTCGAAAGTAAATGTGGCAGACCCGCTCGCGATAATAATCCAAGCACGATAATCGAGGAAGGTATCACCAGTGACCCGCGGCCACGAAGACCTCCTATGCTTGTCAGTTACCCGACCTCGTTTACTTCACGTCGAGGTAGTGGCTATCCTTTCGATCACCATTCTGACCATGGGGAAAGACGCAGCTTAGGAACTTATTCTCCATATGCTTCATATGATCGGGAAGATGGAGATCAGTTCAAGTTGTTTATTGAAGGAGAAACCTATATTGGGACGAATTCAACTCTTGGAACGACCGCAGCAGAAGCCAGCCCGAAAATGAAGGCTCTCTCGATGGCTTCCACCTCGACTCAGAAAGATATAGATTCATCAACAGTTGGTGCTGGTAAAGCGGATAATACGGTACCCAAGTCATTGTCCATCCCAACATTACCCCCTTTGGAGAGCTCACCTATGTCTAGCTCACCCACGAAACCTACCCAGCATGCACATACACCTGTCCTTATATTTGCTGCAGGATATACACCCGACAGAGATGAAGACGAAGAAGCTGCTGAGGCAGCTCGAAAGATATCCCGAAGATTGACTATGGAAGGACGTAAAGATGAGCTGGATATTTTCAATATCTCTAGTATGATGAAATGGCCATATCGTCCTAGCTCTACAATGCCAGCTCTTAGGTCATCTTCCACTACTATAAACTCCACTACTACAAGTGGATCTAAACATCCACGCCCTCCTTTACCAGCGCTTCTCACGGGAAGTAGTCTGTTTCGACCAAACCGCAACTCCACAAACGAAAACCATGATCGTGATCCTAGCGTCCCTGCCTCGGGATTGGAGAAGAAATTTCATAATGTAATCAACGGCGATAACTTTCCTAGGACTGCCAATAATAATGACTTGACATTAACAGAGTCCCATACAAAGGCACAGCTCTCTAATGAATACCAAAGTCATTCTAAAGCATCGACTCTCGACGCTGGATCAGATGATAGTGAAGATCAAACAAAACATCCCCACGCAGATCCCGAGACTGTCGAGCATGATACCCATGTGGATATAAAAAGTAAACACCCCAGCTTGTTACGTCCCAAATCATACGACCATTATAATAATGGTCATATCACTGGTTCCCTCGAACGTAAAGGTAGCAGTCGCAGCAACCGCCATCTCCGCTCTCCCTTGGGCGATAAGTTGTCCATGGACAATATTCGTAGATTCTCCCGAGACACTATTACTCGGCTTCAGGAAGGCGGTCTTGGAGCGGCCCTCAGTCTTCCTGTCGCGACGGGACCAATATCTCCGACGGTCCTATGCTCAGCATCAGTATCGGCAAATGGTGCTGACTCAGGGTCTGGGACCACTAGGAAGACAACCTCATGGGATAATGAGGACGTTGTCGAGACTAGCAGTAGTGACCATGCATCGTCTCTATCCCAGCGTCCCTCTCTCTCACCTCATTCGCAAACGCATGGCATCAACGTTTAACATGAACCATTTATTTTTATTTTATTTTATTTTTAAAATAACCAATCTCGCATTTGTATTTTTTTTTATTATTATTATAATCTTTAATTGCTCTTCCATTCATATCTTCTTTGTTCAAACCTCCCCTTTTTTAACCCTCTGTAATTGTATAATCTCTAACAAAAAAATGTCCTCAATTGCTACAACAGTCTCCCGTTCCTATTCTTCCTTCATCCCTGTCAATAGTCCATCAATAAACATAGTTTCTGTTGTGCCAGAAACTCTAAAACTTGTAAACTTGAGCAATGCTTTTTCTTTTTATTGTTTCAAGGTGATTAAAAAAACAAAAATTAAATAAATAAAAAAATTAGGAGAAGACTGCAACTATTTCATCTCCTCGGAGCTGCTCGGTGGCTGGAGACTAGAAACTGAAGGCTGCAGGTCAAGGGCTGAATGAAAGAAGGATTGGATGATCTGAAAAGAAAAAAAGAATAAAATCTATTTAAATAAGTTTCTTCTATTTCCGTTTAGCTTTGCGCGGTAGTTACTGAGCGGCGCAGTGATAGATGGTTGCTCAAGTGTCCTGTGGGCGAAATTGAGTGTTTTATAGCTCTCTCTTTTTTTTTTTCTCCGCCTTGTGGGATGGAGTATCGCCCCTGTACGGGAGGTTTTACTTGAGCTTGTGGGCCTTGTAGGTAGGACGAGTAACATCACTTTTTTTTTGCGAATATGCTGATGTTTTCTTGATTTTTTTTTTGTTTTTCTTTATACGGAATTATTCAATCCACTGCCTCGTGTCAACTATGCCGTAGATTGGCATTTCCATGGCTCTGCCTTAGGGTTTGTGCATGACTCAGATCACGTCTTTCCAGAAGTTTTGGGTTGAGTTTATGTGTGTGTCGAACACGACCAAAGCCATTGTCCTCAATGCCAGGGATGATGTTGTTGTTGTTGTAAGCAAAGGGATCAGATTCCATCTTTTGACGCTCCAGCCGTTCCAAGATCTCATTCAGGGTCACTTGTGCACGCTTATGAAGATCCGCATCAATCTCAATGGGGACTCCAAAAAGACGATGCGGACGTTGCTGCTGAGGATGTGAGACAGAGGAAGAGGGCTGCTCACGACGGCTGCCACGGCCACGGCTCGATTTTGCCCGTTCCTGTTCTAGCTCCAATTGAAGTTGCTCCAATCTCAGGGCCAGATCCTCTGCAGAAAGGGAGTGATCCAGCAAGAGATGATCATGGCGATCAATGCCATGACCCTCCTCATGTTGATTGATTGAGCTTGACATTGTTTCAAAAAAAATAAAGGAGGAATGAAGATCTTGTTGCTTTAAAAAAAAATAAAATAAAATAAAATAAAATAAAAAAAAAGGTTCTTTGACTTTGGTGGTGTGACAAAGAATAAGAAAAAAGAAAGTGAAAAAGAGAAAGAAGCACCATGCTTTTATACTTTTTTTTTGTTGAAGAATTTTGACAGTGGCGCATCAAACGAAACTCAATTGCGGCAGGCTTGGCTGGCGATGTAACAATGTTATTTATTATTTATTTATTTGTAAAAGGCACTTGCAGAACGACAATTCGCCCACATTTTTTTTTCTCGATTTTTTTCTTCCCATACACTTACACACAGACACAGATACAGAAACAGACCATGGGTAGGACAGAGAGCAAAGTGGCGAAGAGAGTTAAACTATTTTACGTACCCATAAAAACGGAACGGTAAAAAGGGGCGGTGACATGTCACAGTATGAAAAGGAACGATTTCTTTTTTTTTTTTTTTTTTTTTTTTTTTTTATCCCTTGATCTACCGCAGTTAAACCTTTTTTCTGTTATGAGATCAGGCACAAAGATCATGGTTAAAAGGACAGAGGCGTAATAGTCACAGTTTTATGAATCGTTATATATACATCATTTTCATAGTGGCGAAGCTTTATTTTATTTTATTTTTCTTTTTACAACGTGGCACCCAGATCAACTTGGCGTTTTTGCAGAAGAACGGAGGATTGTTCGGGAATGTACTTGAACTGTGCAGCTGCACTCTTTTTTTTTTTTTTTTTTTTTTTTTTTTTTGCCGACCTAATTTTATGTGTATCGCCATGCACATTCCTTTCTCTTTCCTTTTCAATTTCACTACGGCAAGCTTTCTGTACACAACCATACATTTAATATATCTGTCCCCCCCCCCCTCGCCCTCCTTCGCCTTTCTTACAACGCATTATCAGTTATCATTATAGAGAGGTGAAAGATGGCGTTTCTTGTATTCGAAGCAACAAACAAAAGCCTTATCTTTTTTTTTTTTTTTTTTTTTTTTAGTCTTCATGCTTCTCAAACATCTATTAATATGTGTAATGGTCTCTTTTATTTTAATATCAAGCTTCTATAAAGGCGTCTGCCTGGGGTGCCAATATATTGATCATAGGCGTACAACTCAAAAAAAAACATTTTTTTTTTTTTTGTAAAAGAACAATACAAAAAGACATATTCATAAATAATAATAATCACAACGATGATAGTTAAACGAAAGAAAACAAGTAAATATAATGAATATAATGTACAATCAATCAATGAAAGAAAAATCAAACAGAGAGGGGGTAGAAAAAAAAATCGCCAAGGCTCTTCATCTTCAGCCAAGAGTTAACGTAAAAATTAAACCATGGTTTGTGGTTTGTTGTTAGACCTATGTGTGTATGTGTGTATGCGCTTGCACTTGAGTTGCCTGCACTTGGTTCCGATGCTTCATCTGTAGCTTGTTGATTTGTCGCTGATGCGTCTTGACGTGTTGCGCTATGTGATAGAGAAAGAGAAAGAGGAAAAAAAAATAAAATTTAAGATTGATATCACAAAATCCTGCAAAAGTCATTATTATCTTGTTTGTTTACAAATTGCTTCAAATTGCTTACCAAGATTATCAGAACGTGAGAACCGCTTCGTGCAGGTAGCAAATGGACAGTTAAAGGGTCTCTCCAAGGTGTGAGTTTTAATATGCCGCTTTAAATGCTCTAGTCTCTTGAATCGCTTGGAACATCCAATCACAGAGCATGTGTGGTGTTTACCAGAACCTCCATGCTTACTACCACTAACGCTTGCTCCATTAGTCGCTGTTGTTGCTGTTGTTGTCGTTGTCGTTGCTGCTGCTGCACTGGCAGTTGTTGTAGTGCCAGTAGGCTGAGTTTTTGTAGTGGTGGGATCCGTAGTACCATTAACGATACTAGTCATGTTGGCTTTATCAGAATGAGCCGTAATAGAAGCCACATCTACGAAGGATGAAGACGATGAGAGGGACGAAGCCGAAGGCAATGATGACAATGAAAGAGATGAAGAAGAAGGAGTCATCGTACAATGAGTGTCCAGATACCGTGATGATGAGAATGACGAAGGTGATGATAGGTATGGGGACGATGATGCCTCTGAGTAATCAAGACTGGTAGATGGTATGGATGTTGCCATCATGGCTGTCATCATGGTCGGCAACGGATGATGCTGAGATGCCAACATCGGTGTCACTAGTCCTAAATCTGAGGTAGATGATGATGGGGACACCCCCTTTCCGCTGGTCGTAGCAGTGTCCGAAGCTGCGGTCTTTGTAGTCATCATAGGCGATGCAGCAGACGAAGAAAGCTGTTGTGATTGCTGTTGTAGCGTTTTTGTAACCGGCGATGAAGAGCGCGAGGGCGAAGCACCACGCAGCGTCGCTAGGTATGAGAACTGAGGCGAAAGTAAAATGCTACTCGGGTAGTACTGAATTGAGGACGCATCGACCTGAGCCTCATCTGTCGCGCTGCTGCTTTTGTTGTCTGTCTGCTGAGTCTGATTCTGCTGCTGCTTCCTCAAATTGGTTCCTTTGCCACTTGTGGTACTCTTACTGCTAGCAGTCGCTCCTGTAGTGCCAACGAAAAGGGCAGGCGAGGATGATGAATGTGATAAACCACCAGCCGTGGTATGGTCTGGAACAGTAGTTGAGAAGGGCTTCAACAAGCGTGGATCTAAGCACCGCTGATAACCTAAAAGGTCAGTATCATCATGATGATGAAACTGATAATCAGGAGAACAGGCATCCATAGAAAGCTGAGAGGGGTTCATAGGGTTGAATGCCTTACTGCTATTAGTTATATTGTTGGTATTACTGGCGACGTTACTATTGCTACTGCTGTAGAATTTGTTAATATTATTCAGAGAGAAACTTCTCTTCATGCACAGCCCTTTTTGCTTTTTGCCTCGTGAAACTGAGAGACTCGAAGACGGCCTAGTCATAGAAGTGGTTGCCGCTGACGCCGCTGTAGTTGATACAGTTGGTGTAGAAGCGGTAATCGAAGGCGTCGAAGATGGAACGGTGGATGATGTGACAACTGAAGAGTACATGGCCTCGTTCAACCTAGATGCGGGAAAAGCCGTGACAGTGGACAATAGAGGATGAGGTGGTAATGCTGTAGACCCAACAGCTGCATTGATTGGTGAGGATGAGAAAGAAGTAGTTGATGCAGCATGGTGTGGATGGAGTGATGGAAAGCTATGCAGTACTTGAGGCGCGGTCACCTTGGCATCAAAAAAATCAAGGTGAGTCTGTGTGTGGAAAGTATCTGGCTGTACATGTGGATGAAGAGGTTGCAATGGCCCATCCTCGTTCAAGGGCGATACTGCTGGGGTGTAATGGAGTTCAGGCGCTAGGCCATGGACAGCGTTTGTAAATTGGAATCCAGAGTGGTGGAGAGATGATGGAGTCGATGGTCCTGAAGGCAAAGACGTAAAAGAACCAGTGGAGTTACCATCATGTATGGTTGTATGTTGCAGTGGTTGAGGGGTTTGCTGATGTTGGTGTAAGCCTGTGTGACCAAGCGTTGGATATGTTCCATGCAACATTGGCATAAAATGCGTAGAGATGGAGGATGGGAACGCGAATTGTTCAAATTGAGGCATTGGCGATGGATGGGCCGACTCTCCGTTAGAGTCTCTCGTCGTTAATAGTGCTTGTGTATCACCATAACTCTGTTCGTGGGTATCATCGGGTGTGACCGATTTGAAATCTAGGCGTATAGTATCAAATCTAGGGACCATACTGTTTATAGTGTCCAATGGGTCCATCCCATACAATGAATTGCTTCCAAGCGGATAGCTAGAATGGTCCATCATACCAAGCGCCGAATCTTCTCCTTTTAAAATCACATCAGTCGCTAATGGTGTATCATCAGGTGATTGAGACCGAGATCTGTCTCGACCAGACTCAGATGGCTCTTGACTCATGAACCCTGACTCACCATTCTGCTGATCCCGGGGACTTAAAGTAGACTCAATATCGAAATCAAGTATTTCATGTTTGATATCGGTATCGTCGCAATCACCAGCTGAATTACTACTGTGCTGACGGTGTTCACTAGAGCTTTTCTTGGAATGTGTTCGAAGGTGAGCTGAAAAGTTATCGGAACGGCTAAAGGACTTGTTACAACCAACGAAATCGCAGACAAAGGACCTCTCCTTGGAATGAACAAGCATGTGTCTCTTGAGATGTTCATATCGTTTGAAGCTCCATCCACATGTAGGAAACTTGCAGGGGTGTTTGTTATTGGAAGTACTTCCTGTCGAGGACATACTTGTTGTCGAACATACAGAGTTATTGCGTTTGACCTTGATCCCACTGCTGAAGCCACTAGCCTCGTTACTATTACTATTATTGGTGTTATCCGGCAATAAATCTTCGATGGAAGTAGGATTCATACTGTTCGTGGCGGTCCCAGCCATGAAGCCCTCCGGCATGGGAGATGGGCAAGCGGATGACGGCTTGGGCGAGGGCATAGCTTGATTTAGGCTATGGCTCTGCAATACAGTTTGTTGTGGAAATTGAGCACGATAGTAATGCATTATTGCAGGATTGATGTGATTGGGATCCATCTGGTAAAAATTTGAAAGAGGCTCACTAAGAAACCCACTTATGGATATGGAGGACGAGGAGGAACTTGACCAGGATGCTTGGCGTTGTAAAGTCTTTTCTTCCGAGGAACTCTTATGCTTGTGCTCTACTTGACCAGTGCTAAGAGTAGGGACCGAGTTCCGCCGGGGAGGTTCATAAAGGCTGGTATTGTGGCCATGCATGGCCATAAATGCTGCTTTGGTAGAGCTGGGGATAGTGGAGATCGAAAAGTTGGTGGTATCAGAGGTCGGTAAAAGTCCTGAAGTAGTGTGGTTAAAAACAGGGTTGATATGAGTGTAAAGGGAAGTGGTATCTGACTGGAAGTGATTTAAAGAGTTATTTCCAGTCACCATGGGAAGCGTATGTGAGATAGAAGTTGCCCCCAGCATAATATTGTTCTTGGTACCCTTGTGAGGTATGAGTGACGAAATATGAGTGGCTATGGCGGCGGAAGCTGCTGCTTCGTTGTTGGCTGAAATCACTCCCTCCATAGGCGAGTTTGGTTGACCTACAGAACTAGGCTCATCCATGGAGTGGTCCGCAGCTCTGTTTATGCTTGAAGGGAATCCAGGGGCAATGGTCATAGTTGTGGAGCCCTCTATGTCAATGAGTATAAACAACAGAGCATTAGAGGGGCGTGGAGACTGAAAAAGGAGAGGGGAGAATGTGTAATAAAGATGACAAAGGATAGAAGTACTGAAAAGATTCGACCAATTAACCAACGCTTGAGTGTACAGCGCACACTGCATTTGTTTAAGATTTTATAACATCACTAATTACCTATGCTTTCAGCCATGGCTGTTTAAGAAAGAATAAATAAAGTTGAGAAATATAAAAACAGAATAATGCTCTGCTAGAAAGAAGTGACAGTTATGTTGGGATGCAAGGGAATGATGAGGGAGCGTATATTAAAGAGAGTAAAACAGAGGGAACAAAGAGAGGATGGAAGTGGGGGAAGGACGGAGAGAAAAAATGTAGAGAAGGAAGGAAGAAGGGGAGAGGAGGGGAGGAAGATGCAAGTGAAAAGGAAGCAAGGAAGAATATGCACGCCTAACAACGCAGGTTAAGATAATATGCGCGTCAATGTTAAAAAAAGAGATGCTGTTAAATGTGTCTGTGGGCACAAAACGAATGATGGTCCCCAAAGAAGCTCTGCCTGGGATCTATATTTATCGTAAATTGGTCTTTTGGTCGTGTGGGTGGGCCGTTGGGGTTTCTGGTATCCTATATTTCGTTTGCACTAAGAGTGTGTCCAGGCTTTTTTTCCTGCTGCTGCTAAAATATACGAATTGAACATGAAACACAAATATGCGGCACCGGAAATGAGAGATTGGTTAATGCGTGTTGACTGATGGCTTTGTTCGTTTGTGAGCACTTTTTTTTTTTTTTTTCTTTGCTTTTTGTTGCGTGCACAGAGCATGGCCGATGTTTATGTTTGGGTTTATGCTTCGTTTTGATCCAATACCCCTACTCAGATTTGCTGCAACAGAAATGTGGAGGGGACATGCGATGTGTATGGGGGCGAGGGTATAATGCATTAGGTAGCCAAAGAGGCAACGAGTACCAGAGAATGAGTGATAGTGGTCGTCAACAACTAGAAGAGGCGAAACGAGCGATGTGATGGGTGGAGTGATAAAATGAGATAAAATATCGAGCCAGTGAACGGTGCCCGTCGCTTGGTACCAGACTAAATGGCCCAATAGAAAGCATGCTAGTTTAGCCAAACAATTAAACGCATGCACATCTTTTACTGCCTTTTTTTTTTAGGCTAAACAAATCAGCAAGTAATATCAAAGCTTCCTTTCAAATCACCGCTCTTAACATTTCCAAATGGGGACAATGAAATTTTATAATAAATAATTAATATTTCTTTGTTCTTGTTGGGTAGCCCCATCTCGGTTTTATCAAGTTCAAAATTCGTGAGAGATACAAGTCGTATTATACCCCAGGACCGAAAAAAAAAAAAAAAAAAAAAAAAAAAAAAAGAAAAAAAAAAATCGCTGTTTGGTTGCATCAGATGAAAAGGAGCTGTCTGATTGGCGCAATTTGCATGCGTTCAATTTGGATGGATATTGAACCATGGGCCATGGCACACTTCACCCCCTCCTTTTCCCCCAAGCAAAACATTCTCTCACAGATGTACAGATGTTCAATGATTGCATTACACTAAAAAGCGAATGTTCCACAAATATCCTGTCGCGTAAATAGTGCAAAAAAAAAAAAATTTTAAACAAAGCCCCCAATCAGAATAAGCAGACCTTTGAAAAGGAAAAAATAAAGAGAACATCAAACTTATTTTTTTATATGAGGTGTT